TAGTTCTTTGCATTGACTTCATTGACTGGCATTGACTGTAAGAATAAAGTCTGTAGTTTCAAACTATTTGGTAGAAAAAATATAATATGGTATAAACTCGTTTGTTTAAATTGATGTAAACTGTGTTCGTGTTAAAGTAAAAGTTTAAAAATGAAAATTCACGTAGTTTTTCTGCTTACAAGTGGATTAGTATGTTAATATCTAATTGATGCAAAAAATGTTTAACCTAAGGGTTATATCATGCACGTTAGTCAAATATTAAATATCTATTTCACATTTATGTATATAATTCGCCAATGACATTCGAAAATGCAAACTGACGAGTAAAAGTCCATGTGAGTAATATAAAAGTTTATTTTTCCTCCTAGAATTTTGTAAAATCTGTTAACCTTTAACAAATGATAAACACAGGTCTTATTAACGTGTTAAATGTTAAAGTATTGAAGTTTTATGTTATTAGTGAAATCTAATTTAAATAATAGATAAAATAAAGTCACACAATATACACAAAAGAAGTTTTTGTGGCATGGTATGATGTATCACATGTTATGTGTGTCTAATTATCTTTTGTCAGTCAATCAGAAATCAAGGTCGAAAAAGTATATATGTGTCAATATTTATTCTAAGGATAAAATATTATATAAATAGAAAAATAAGTTATTTTGTGCAATGAAAAATATTTCAATCCACTCTAATATTACCGCTACAGCCAATTAAACTCCACTGCGCAAAAATACGTAGGCCTCCTCCATATATTACTAATATTACAAAACTCCATAATACTCTAATATTATAAAGTTTATTTATCACTATATGATATACCTGAAATACTGTAAATATTGTAAAATCATAATATATTAATCGATATTTGTCTTTTGGATTTCCAATTTTTTTAATTGAAAATATATTGTAATTCAAATAATATAGGGTTCCACATCAAACATTCACTTTCATAATGATTTCTTATATTTACGCGAACACTACACATGATTAAAACTACTTTTACGGATTTTATCGGGTTTATTTTTACTTTTAATTACTTTTATTTTTAATTCCCGACGTTTCGGGCGCATTCCAGCACCCATGGTCACGGGGGACTGAGATAACTGAGGTCCCGATGTCATTGTTAAACCCGGCGTACCTTCAGCTTTTTTAATTATTGTTTATGGTCCGATCTATGCAAAATGAACTGACTATGTCCTGAGGTCTTGCAGTGATATGCTTGGGTTTAGTTTTAATTTTATTGATTACAGGATCCCAAGCAGGTGGTAGTACCCAGCCTCCTTCTCTATTGAAATTAGGATTTTTTTTAATTTCAATAGCCTCACGTATCATCCTTGGTAGGAATCGGTGTTCTTTCGCGAGGATTTGTGGTCTATCAAATCTGATGTAATGGTTGGGGCCGTCTAGGATATGATCACAAACTGCAGACTTCCCGGAACGTTGATGCTTCACATCAGCTATATGTTCATACATAACATATAGCTGGGAATTAAAAATAAAAGTAATTAAAAGTAAAAATAAACGCGATAAAATCCGTAAAAGTAGTTTTAATCATTCACTTTCATGCCAACTTCGCTTCCCTCCTCAAAATGTACATTTATCTGAACTTTATACTTATTTACTCTTTTATTTTTAATTCCTAATTTTTTCAGTTACACCCAATTGATGCAGTTTGTTGTAACTGCCTAAGAATATTGCAAGAAAGTGTTGCACCTGCTCACTCCATAAGAAGATTTGGGTACAGGAATATTTGTATTCCATGTGGATCTTCAATTTTAAGTGCACACCATACACGGACTGTGCCTATTAACTATGAAGAAAGAGATATTATTTTGCAGTGGATACCACCACACCAGGTACTTACTTTATTTTAAAAGGCTGTAAATGGTCGCCTGCCTGAAATAGGCAGCCCAGAGGATTTGCCACAATCGCTTTGGTACACAGATTGATGTTTGTAAAATCAGACACCTTGCACACAATTTGGCCTGATATTTATGCTCATTCAACATGGCTGTTCACTAACAGGTTATCTTTAACTTTACAGTCTACCAAAAGTCTACGCGAACATAGATTGTCTCCCCATATATGGGGGGATTTTTGCCATTAATAACCAGTTTTTTTATTTTTAGTTGTTATTAGATAAACTCTTCCTTACCTTACACCCATATTTGTATGCCTTTGTACTTATTATACAAGTAATATTTTTTACCTTAAATGGCATTAGTATAAATAAAACGGGTTGGGTTTACAATTCGGTCGCCTCAATTTGAAGATTCTGTTACGGCCTGGCCACGGGGATCGGCGGCGACAGGCTGGGCGAAAATTCGCGCGGCGCGATTTGAGGGCCACGGGAAGTCACGTTTGCCGCCGCGACCAGATAGGCCGAGAGTGAAATGTCTTTATCACAGTTATCTCGATATTGCTTAGAAAGTAATTGTTTTTTGATTCAAGACATAATATTTGAATGAGATTGCGGAGTACTTGATTTGAATAGGAATCGGGTTATAGATGGAGAATTCCACAACAAATAGAATGCATCTAGAAAAAATTTCGAGTAAATACCAGAATGAGTGTTGACCTGCGATTATATTCTTGTTAATATTCAACCAGAATTGGAGATGAAAGTCAATGCGGATAGAATTTTAAGTTGTTTTTGTCGGCCCGGCATTTTTCGCGGCGAAAACAACTAAAATATTTTGTTCCCTATACTATTCGCCGCGTCTGCCGCCGCGATTGCCGCCCGACCCGTGGCTTGCACCGTACTGATTCATACATTTGTTTCAGTCTTCCGCCGCGCCGCCAGTCGCCCGCGCGATTCGCCCGGTAAATTTCGCCGGCCGCGACTCGCCGCTACGCGTGGCATGCTTCATACATTTCTATACATTTGTTTTAGTCGCTAGACGCCTCGCCGTTCGCGCCGCGCGAATTTTCGCTACGGCGAATGTCCCGTAGCCAGGCTGTTACTGTGGGGGGCGTCAAGGGGGTTTATCTGGAGCACCAACACGCGAGTTTTGCTACCGGAGCAGCATCGAAGTATTTTTATTTATTTTTTGAAAATATTGGTAAATGACTAATTAATTAAATATTCTCACGTTTTTGACGTTTCATCTGTCAATGTCATATCGATATATAGTACTAAATCGATCTAGTGAATCGATATTTCACCCTAGAGAATCAAGATCGAATCTTTTCTGTTTTGTTAAGATTTACAAATTTATTTATAATTAGTTGAAAGTACCCCAACTCGTAAAGAATGACAGTTTTTCAATTTAATCATTCAATGTTATCTGAAACTTTAAAGAACTTGGGCTTAGTGAAATATTGTTAATAATTCTAAAATAATTACTTCTTGTCGGAAATGTGATGTATTATTTATTTTTATTTAAATAAGTAGTGCCACAAAAATATTATAAGGGGAAACAATTGCATGCTAATATTTATAATTTTAAAAGACATTAAAACTATTTAGTCTTAGAAAGATTGAAATAAATAGAACAATAATAAATATTATTAATATTTAGAGTAGACACTGTAAAACACACTATAAGAAGAATATCCATTCTGTTAGTTGATAAAAAAAATAACTTTTTTCAGGTGGATCGTTTAGAACGAGTATGCAGTCCTTGCTGGCTAAGGACTTTCAGAGCTGTATGGAGTCAGAGACAACGAAAGGTTAACAGGGATATGGAGTTACAATCCATGAATATAGAAGACATGTACCCCCACCCCCTATACCTGCACCTGTAACCCCTGCCATTTCCAGAGTGGTATCAACAATTACTATGGCTAATTATAAGCGTGCTGCTTCTACTTCCCGTCACTGTATTTTTAAGTCATGTAATCATTCATTTAGATTTTTAATACCTAAACTACTTAAAGAGAGATTGCTGATTAATCACTCATTTTATGTGCCACTGTGCGCTCGTATTTGTGAATACCATTTAAATGAACCCCACAATGATTGGAATAATTAATACACGAGTAGTAACTGTTCAGATTTTACTGCATCTCAGATAGACGACAACCTTTGTTCCTTACTTAAAAGTAGTGTTACTCAAAATTATAATATTTTAAATATCATTGAACATAATTCAATATTATGCAAATATTGGTTAGGATTTACCAACTACCAATTTGAACAGTTACTAGTTGAAATTCCATCTATTAGTGAAAGAGTTAAATCACCTAAAAGAAGTCTAGCTATGTTCTTAATGAAACTTCGTACAGGTGATAGCAATGAACGCATAGCTTCTCTATTTAATGTAGCTTCATCGACTGTGTTCAATCACTTAAATATGACAACCTTTGTTCCTTACTTAAAAGTAGTGTTACTCAAAATTATAATACTTTAAATATCATTGAACATAATTCAATATTATGCAAATATTGGTTAGGATTTATCAACTACCAATTTGAACAGTTACTAGTTGAAATTCCATCTATTAGTGAAAGAGTTAAATCACCTAAAAGAAGTCTCGCTATGTTCTTAATGAAACTTCGTACAGGTGATAGCAATGAACGCATAGCTTCTCTATTTAATGTAGCTTCATCGACTGTGTTCAATCACTTAAATATTGTAAGTCAGTGCTTTGAAGAGCAATTCATCCAACTGCATTTAGGGACAAATATCTTATGCATTCAACAAGTTGCTCAATATAACTTGACAATACCAAATGGCTTGTTTGGTAATCCAGATATGGATCCTGAATTTATGCCAGCCATAGTAATATGTGATGGTACATACATTTATGTGCAAAAAAGTAGTAATTACTTGTACCAGAAGCAAACATATAGTTTACATTACAATAGCCCACAACACGCAGGACAGCGCATGCAGATGGGATCATACCGCTTGTTCCCCCGATCTAACCTAGCCTATATACATGGTGCAATCCATGCGGTGTTGGTTCTAACTGACTGTACTACCGCGTCAGCCCCAGATAGCATCCGTGGGGTAGGGTACGAGATCCCTGTGGCTAGCGCGTATCGGCGCGCGGATGATGCCCAACCCCTTCCCGGCCCCAACCGCGATTGACGACCTAATCAACATCTGGTGGGTACCTTTTGAGGCGGCTGCAGGTGGTTCAGACATCGTTACGGCCATAAACGAAATAGAGAGCAAACTCGCTATTGATGGGGTGGCCCGTCAGGCCTGTAGTGTAGCGGCCGAATTGCACGGAGCCCAGTATCCTCCAGTGATGGTGCCTGCGGACGGAGTCAGGTACCGGGATGACGAACCAGCGTGCGGAGGGTGGGTGATGGATGGGGATCCGGGGCCTCATCTGTACCCGGACTCCCGTTTTCTCGCATCGCGAGTACTATCTGAGCCAGATACCACCACGTCCAGGCGACTCATTGTAGGGTTTAATTTCGGGACAATCAGCCCGCTGGCACGACCTTACTCTGGCGAGACTGGGACAATGGGGGTTAACTCGGTGCTAGACAGGGTTCACAGGGGGAGGAGGTGGACCCACAATAAACCAGACAACCACGCCCCAGCCATGACTCTAAAGACCATGGACTCTATGTTCAGAGTGGCGACGTACCTGGGGCTGGTGATTACAGAGGACATACAGAGTGGATTCACTTCGCCGAGAGGAGCACGTTCGTGGTTCAGGATGTTAAGCATGGCTCTGACATTGCAGACGTCACTGCTATTCGCACGTTCAGATTTGTCGAAGCAAATTATGGTCTGATTATGCATGTTGTATATAGTGTAAATCTAATACACAATCAAAAAAAATGTATATAAACAATCATGGCATGATTAATGATTAAAGAGTCTGGGTGGGTTACGAAAGTGATGCTCATGACCTGGTGACGAGGAACACGTACACCGAGTTCATAAGAATGGCTACAAATGGACTGTGCGGATACATCGACATTGCATCGATGATAGAGCCGTGGCATGCTTAGGACGAGGACTGCACAGCCGAGTATTATGGGCTGGATCTGGCTGCCGACGCAAATTGGCTGTCTTACCATCCTGTGCCGGCTGTGATGACTACACAGTGGTCACGCAAACTCGGACTAGAGGAGGGAGGGGCTCAGAAGGCCGGCGTGTTCCGGTACCTGGGTGAGCACCGGAAAGGACTGTTGGTGACGCACGATACAGCTTGTAACAAAATGGAGGCGATTGCTACTATCGACTTTGATCGATACGCACCCGTAGTCGTGTACCCCCCCCCGATAACGAGAATGAGAGGAGAGCGTTCACTGGGCATGTGGGTTGAGTGTGACCCGTATATCACTAAACACATTACAGGGGCACACGCTGCACAACCTTGTACTGTGATGATGATCGGGACGCCAGCGATTACAACTCAGTCATTGTTCACTGAGATAATCGAGCCGAGAAGACTTTACATCCTGTTCTCTCGCATGGACAGCAGCAACTCGGACATGACCGCCATCAAGGTGACTGACATACAATACCCCGATCCGATATCACTGGACTCTATCATATCGGCCGCAAAAAACTATCTAGTATACCCAGCTTTGTCGGCCGTGCTGGGATTCATCACGGGCGGGCCGACCGGCGCGGTGGTGGCAGGGGCAAGCCATGTCATCAGTAAGGCCTGGTTCCGACTCAACACCTGGATGTGGTGAAGGAGGTCTTGGAGAGGACAAAAACGAAGGTGGCGGAGCCAGGGGCTGTTGGCGCCCCATTACAGGAGAAAAGACCAGAATGAAGTACAGCACATCAGTACGGGGGGGAGCCTTGCCTGCACCTTTTCAACAGGTGTATAACTCGATCTTGGACAGTGGGATCCTGGACGTCATTGACGAGCCACAAGACCTGCGGGTACGTCCGAGCGGACTCGACCAGTTGAAGCGGTTGCGGGGGGGGGCGTGCAAAAGGATTGGCCCATCCCTCCTGAGGTCTCGTGCTTGTGGCCTCTATATTTTTACTACACATGCCTGAAAAAAATAGGCCAATGGCAGAGTGCTAAAGATTTTAGGTACATCTTGGGGGTGATCAGGGCTAGGTGGAATCATAGGAAGACCAGATGTGTCCCTGAGTATATGGACGACTTCTTTAGAATCAACCTCAAAGCGATCAGCGGTTTTTGTTTTCCCATTACATTTTCTGAAGGCCCTGTATTCCAACTTTTCACTCACCTGCACTCCTTGACAGGGAAGTATCCATATACTAAGGAATAGATCTTGAACGATATAGACACATGGGTTAGCGCATCACACTCCGGCGCGCCAAAGGACTTTGACAAGACATCAACCATGAAAACTTTGGACCGTATATTTTCTAAATGGTCCCCTTCAGAACCCCATGGGGCGATGGGCTTCACTGATTATGCCAACGACTTCATGAGATGGGGCACCTCGGGGGGTGGCCCAAAAAGTACAATTATGGGGTCAACATATAGAACAAAACGGGCGTGGGGGTTTGCGCACTACACACATGCAGACGGGTCTCACAGATCAGACCCAAAGCTATACCAAGACAGCCTAGCTTCGAGATCTGACGCGATGATAGCACTAAAGGAGGAAGCGCCGAAGACCCGTGAAATTATAGCAACACCAATGCCCAGCTATCTGCGCCTTTCTGTATCCGGTAGGTTACATCGTTCATCCTGGTCACAATCCGGTACGGGCCGTCCCATTTAGCTTGAAGCTTAGGAGATTTCCCTTTGCTGCGGACTGGACTGTGCAACCACACAAGTGAACCTTCGTCGAACCCTTTGTTGTTCATTTCGCGGTCGTACCGGGTTTTCATCTTTTCAGACATTTGCTGGCCCGATTGTCTGACGTGCACATAAACGTCATTCATTTTGTTCCGCAAGTCATTTGCATAATCGGCTAAACTGCGTGGAGCATCAGGTGGTATCCCGGTGATCAGGTCTGCAGGCAGCCGTAATTCTCTTCCAAAGTTTGCGAAAGCTGGTGTCACTGCTGTACTTTCGTGAACAGCGCTTCGATATGACAACAAAAACGGTTGTATGTGCTTGTCCCAATCTCGTTGCCGATTGTCTACAACTTTTGCTAGGTACCTCTCCAATGTCTGATTAAATCGTTCTACCATTCCATCAGATTGCGGGTGATAAGAAGTCGTTCTTGTTTTATGAGTACCCATAACTCGGCAAGTTTCCTGGAATATTTGAGACTCAAAATTCCTTCCTTGATCGCTGTGAATCTCTAAAGGTACTCCAAAACGACAGAAGACTTCATGAACGAGTTTATCTGCAACTGTTGAAGCTTCTTGATTTGGAATGGCGAAGACTTCTTGCCACTTAGTGAAGTAATCCATCACAACCATGAAATGCTTGTTACCGCTTTCACTCTCCGGAAACGGCCACGCCACGTCAATGGCTACTCTCTCCCATGGTGCACCAATATTGTACAACTTCAATGCACCTCTACTACGAGTCTGAGGTCCCTTTACAGCCGCACAACTTGTACATTTGCATTTACATCAAAAAAAAGACACCAAATACATTTTGACACAAGATGACACTGCATTCTTTCCTGCTATTTACCAACTTACAGGCACTATTTCTTTGCATTGACTCCATTGACTGGCATTGACTGTAAGAATAAAGTCTGTAGTTTCAAACTATTTGGTAGAAAAAATATAATATGGTATAAACTAGTTTCTTTAAATTGATGTAAACTGTGTTCGTGTTAAAGTAAAAGTTTAAAAATGAAAATTCACGTAGTTTTTCTGCTTACAAGTGGATTAGTATGTTAATGTCTAATTGATTCAATTTGGCCTGATATTTATGCTCATTCAACATGGCTGTTCACTAACAGGTTATCTTTAACTTTACAGTCTACCAAAAGTTTACTGCTGAACATAGATCTCCCCATAGATTGTCTTATGGGGGGATTTTTGCCATTAATAACCAGTTTTTTTTTATTTTTCGTTGTTATTAGATAAACGCTAATTCTTCCTTACCTTACACCCGTATTTGTATGCCTTTGTACTTATTATACAAGTAATATTTTTTACCTTAAATGACATTAGTATAAATAAAACGGGTTGGGTTTACAATTCGGTCGCCTCAATTTGAAGATTCTGATACTGTGGGGGGCGTCAAGGGGGGTTTATCTGGAGCACCCACACGCGAGTTTTGCTACCGGAGCAGCATCAAAGTATTTTTATTTATTTTTTGAAAATATTGGTAAATGACTAATTAATTAAATATTCTCACGTTTTTGACGTTTAATCTGTCAATGTCATATCGATATATAGTACTAAATCGATCTAGTGAATCGATATTTCACCCTAGAGAATCAAGATCGAATCTTTTCTGTTTTGTTAAGATTTACAAAATTATTTATAATTAGTTGAAAGTACCCCAACTCGTAAAGAATGACAGTTTTTCAATTTAATCATTCGATGTTATCTGAAACTTTAAAGAACTTGGGCTTAGTGAAATATTATTAATAATTCTAAAATAATTGCTTCTTGTCTGAAATGTGATGTATTATTTATTTCTATTTAAATAAGTAGTGCCACAAAAATATTATAAGGGGAAACAATTGCATGCTAATATTTATAATTTTAAAAGACATTAAAACTATTTAGTGCTAGTAAGATTGAAATAAATAGAACAATAATAAATATTATTAATATTTAGAGTAGACACTGTAAAACTATAGTCCATTCTGTTAGTTGATAAAAAAATAACTTTTTTCAGGTGGATCGTTTAGAACGAGTATGCAGTCCTTGCTGGCTGAGGGCTTCCAGAGCTGTATGGAGACAGAGAAAACAAAATGAGAACAGGGATATGGAGTTACAATCCATGAATATAGAAGACATCGGTAACATCGCACAACCACCCCCTATACCTGCACCTGTAACCCCTGCCATTTCCAGAGTGGTATCAACAATTACTATGGCTAATTATAAGCGTGCTGCTTCTACTTCCCGTCACTGTATTTTTAAGTCATGTAATCATTCATTTAGATTTTTAATACCTAAACTACTTAAAGAGAGATTGCTGATTAATCACTCATTTTATGTGCCACTGTGCGCTCGTATTTGTGAATACCATTTAAATGAACCCCACAATGATTGGAATAATTAATACACGAGTAGTAACTGTTCAGATTTTACTGCATCTCAGATAGACGACAACCTTTGTTCCTTACTTAAAAGTAGTGTTACTCAAAATTATAATATTTTAAATATCATTGAACATAATTCAATATTATGCAAATATTGGTTAGGATTTACCAACTACCAATTTGAACAGTCACTAGTTGAAATTCCATCTATTAGTGAAAGAGTTAAATCACCTAAAAGAAGTCTAGCTATGTTCTTAATGAAACTTCGTACAGGTGATAGCAATGAACGCATAGCCTCTCTATTTAATGTAGCTTCATCGACTGTGTTCAATCACTTAAATATGACAACCTTTGTTCCTTACTTAAAAGTAGTGTTACTCAAAATTATAATACTTTAAATATCATTGAACATAATTCAATATTATGCAAATATTGGTTAGGATTTACCAACTACCAATTTGAACAGTTACTAGTTGAAATTCCATCTATTAGTGAAAGAGTTAAATCACCTAAAAGAAGTCTCGCTATGTTCTTAATGAAACTTCGTACAGGTGATAGCAATGAACGCATAGCTTCTCTATTTAATGTAGCTTCATCGACTGTGTTCAATCACTTAAATATTGTAAGTCAGTGCTTTGAAGAGCAATTCATCCAACTGCATTTAGGGACAAATATCTTATGCATTCAACAAGTTGCTCAATATAACTTGACAATACCAAATGGCTTGTTTGGTAATCCAGATATGGATCCTGAATTTATGCCAGCCATAGTAATATGTGATGGTACATACATTTATGTGCAAAAAAGTAGTAATTACTTGTACCAGAAGCAAACATATAGTTTACATTACAATAGCCCACAACACGCAGGACAGCGTATGCAGATGGGATCATACCGCTTGCTCCCCCGATCTAACCTAGCCTATATACCTGGTGCAATCCATGCGGTGTTGGTTCTAACTGACTGTACTACCGCGTCAGCCCCAGATAGCATCCGTGGGGTAGGGTACGAGATCCCTGTGGCTAGCGCGTATCGGCGCGCGGATGATGCCCAACCCCTTCCCGGCCCCAACCACGATTGACGACCTAATCAACATCTGGTGGGTACCTTTTGAGGCGGCTGCAGGTGGTTCAGACATCGTTACGGCCATAAACGAAATAGAGAGCAAACTCGCTATTGATGGGGTGGCCCGTCAGGCCTGTAGTGTAGCCACTGACACGTCCATGGATACTACGCCATCCAAAATAAAAATTGCCTTGTACGTCCTGGATACTAGTGTAGCCAAAGCGTTAAGTTTTATAAAACTGACATCTAGGGACAATCTGCAGTACGTTTTGTGAGTTTTATTTATGGAATCAATAGCTGACGAATTACTTTACGTATCAAATACGAGATGGCAGTATAACAAGTCTTGACGAATGAACCATAAATATCTTACTTCAGTATCGGTGTTCTGTGTTTTGTGAACAAGTGTTTTTGGAGTGCCAGCGATTATGTCGTAAGTACTTTAGTTTAATTTAATATTTCGTAGATTATTATACGTCAAAATAAACTAGATGATTTGTGCTTTATAATTACGTATATATATCACAGTTCTAAGTGTAAAATCGAGTCATATTTTAAATTCAAAGTATAGCTGTTTCGAAAAAATGGCCGCTCAAGTTGTCGGCCCAATTTTAGTTTTGTTAACTTAGTTTTTTCAGTAAAATTATATTTAAGCAACGAGTAATAGTTGTAATAAACATAATAATGCACTTTGCAAACAGAATTAAACTATATTCACTGAAGATTCCTTAGAAATGTTATTGTGTTCCTCAGGTCTTTTGTTGTGGATAGTTTGATATCCACGGACGTAACTACAATGGCTCTAAATAAGGGTCGGTACAAATAGCAAAGTATGCTTGCAATATGTTTCGCTTTCTTATTTTTTGTGGTCGAGGTCTTGGTTGGTTTGGGTCTTGAGTTTTTTTTTTCGCTTAGTTGGTTGTGTAATTGTGTTTCATCATGCTCTTATCTCATAGTTTTTGTTCTTGTGTTATATTAATGTTATGTTTGTTCGTGATTGTCGACTTTTGCTCTCTTTTCTATTTAACTTCACTTTACTTACATGGAGGATGTGTTCTACGATTTCAAATCACTTTACTTTCCTTGTGATGTATTGACAATAATTTAATTCTCATATTTAATCAAAATCATTCATTTTTCGGTATACGGTTTTCGCTTTGCACCACTGCTCAATGTCTGGCGCCAGTTTAGAAGCTGTCGTATTATTTATTATGTAGATCTCTTCATGTAGAACGCTTTTCAAAAGAAATTACATTGAAGAACCTCATAACTTTCGAGAAAAAAATCCTAAATAAAAATGGCTTTTGTTATGTAATCATATAATAAAAAAGGGTCCTTACTGCCATAAAAAATAGCTTCTATTAAAAAGCGACCCCAGAGATTGCACCGTACTTTCCATCATTTACTTAATATTGTGCTATATAGCCTATAACCGTTATAGGGTCCCATCTATCACTGTACCAAAAGTCATCAAAATCAGTTCAGCCGTTTTGACGTGAAAACGGGACATATATACTAACAAACATACAGACTTTCGCATTTATAATACATGTTATTAGGGATTGGATACCTACTCATTTAAAATAACTCTCTTCTAAGTTGACGCGGGTAATTTTTAATGCTTCTTTACCACATTATTATTGTTTTTTTCCCTGATGATATTAATGGTTTAAATTAATACATACAACAATTTTAGATCACCGACCGAAACTAACTTAGCTCGTGGAAGTCGTAGAGGCCGAGGGGTTCGTACTAGAGGTGGGAGGGGACCATCTCAAGTTAGGAGGTATTTTCTATTTTTAGTAATTTTGTTACTAAAAACTACTTTCGTACATTTTGTTTTTCTCATCTTATATTAGATATGTAGTCAAGTTTTAAATAATTATATTATATTATAGATCACCTAGTGAAAATGATCTGCCGTCTAACGACGGGAGCCATAGAGGCCATGGTAGTCGTGGCGACCGTGGCAACCATTATGGTGGAGAACGCCCTAACAGTCGGAGACACCGGGGAGGCCGAAGAGGACGCGGAGGACACGACAATCAGCCCTCCCAAGCAAGGATGTAAGTATATTTTACACAGATTTATTGTTGGACTATTATTTTTGATACTACAGGATATTATTTCTTTGTAGCAGTGAACTAGACTTAATTCGCGCTCAGCGGCAGCTCACCCAGAAGCGTGTTGCAGCGCTGCCAGCAGAAGTAAAAAAGGGAGCTTTTAACTCGCAAGCGTGACTCTGAGGTTGCTAGAGTTATAATGCCTGACGCGCCTCAGCGCAAAAGGCGCGCCCGGTAAATGTATTTACTACATACTTTATCATAATTTAGCAACACGTGTTTACTAAGTTTTCTTTTTCTGGCAGATTGGCGTCGCCGGAGCGCGAACCATGCGAGTTCATGGAACCAGAATGTGATAGCCAGCGTAAAAAAATTATTATTTTAGGTAAAGAGTCATTTGTTGTTAATAATTTTACTATATTGTTATTGTTTTATATTTGAATTAATATTATTTGTTTTAGAGGATATACAATTGGTGCCCCCCAAACACGCCGAAATCATGGCTAACGTCGAGATACGTAAGTAAATGTTTTATTATACCTAAGCCTGTTCCCAAACTTTATTTTATGACTTAATTAACCTGATGCTTTTTGTTACAGATAACATTCAACAATCGCCGCCCGGGGATGTCGAGATAGGTAAGAAAATATTTTACTACACCTGAACCTTTTCACAATCTTATTCTTTATGACTTGATTAACCTGATGCTGTTTGTTACAGATGAAATTCAACTATCTCCGCCCAGGGACGTGGAGATACGTAAGTAAATATATTGCTAGGCCTATGTATTATTCATTTTATAAGAATCCTAAGCCTCATATTGTTTGTTACAGAAGACCTGAAACCTAGAGATTTGCTGCGTATCGGTACGTCAGACCTCGATACCGTCCCTTATTCTCCCGACTACTTAGACAGTCTGGATCCGGTTCGCTTAGATACGGAGATCAATAGAGCCTTAATGGCAAAAACTCCTAAAAAAAGGGGCATACCTTCTGCAAATTCTTCCTCAATAAATCCCTTGATAGATTGAACACACATACACTCTCGCACATTCATACACTACACACATACACCTAAAAAATTATTATTGAATCTTTTTTATTTTTAATGTTTTCCCTTTTTTGAAGTCTTTCTGCTTCTTCGTCAAAGGCCAATTCTGGTCACATTCATAGAGATAAATTCTAGTGAAAGTTAAGGTCAATTTGAAGTTGAAGTAAACAATTTATTTAAGCATAATTCTATTTCAGGAAACAATATGGTAGCCGAGGCTGATGACGAAGTAACTGTGACGCCTTCCACTAGCAAACAGCGTACTTCGATTGGTACGCATTATTCAATCTAGAAGTCAAATATAGAAAACCACGAATTGTTAACAGTAAGTTTTTTTTTTCAGGGGTTATTGACAAGAATTTCGACGTTGTCGTTGGCGACTGGATAAAACTGACCGATGACCTAAGTGACTGACATGGACACAGAAAACGAGGACTGCTTTCTCCCTGTCATGACCTCACGCAACGCTACGGCGGAGCCTGCAGCTGAAACTGACATGACGTTGTACGAGGTTCGTATACTAGAGACAGAAGACCGACGAAATGACCTAGCAATCAGGGAGATCGCACCACATGACTGTTACAATTTTGAGTGGAAAAGAGATCGACAGACTTTTACAGGACAACGAGAAAATTTTACCGGGACTCCAGGACCGACATTTTCGATTACAGAGGAGACTAGTATCGTCGAAATTTTTTATAAAATGATCGACAGCGACTTTATAGACAGAATTTGCACAGAGACTAACAGATATGCCGACCAAAAAATAAAATTATTGAAAGATCAGAACAAATTCTTACCGACTTTAAGACTACACCGATGGACACCGACGGACAGGGATGAAATGGTCAGTTTTCTAGCCATATCAATTCTTCAAGGGCTATACCCCCTGCAGGAAGAGGAGTCCTATTTTAGTTTCAATGGTTTTGGCACTATGCCTTACTTCCGAAAAATAATGTCGTACAATAGATTTTTATTATTGAAGTCACTGATCCATTTCGTCGACAATGAGACAATTACAGAACCAAAGAAACTGTGCAAAATTCAAATGGTGACTGACTATTTCAACGAAAAGTTCTCGCATTTATATTATCCTTCCCAGGAGGTTGTCATTGACGAATCCCTTCTGAAATGGCATGGGCGACTAGGCTTCGCTCAGAAGATTTCGTCAAAGGCTGCGCAAGTCGGAGTGAAGACTTATGAGCTTTGTGAGTCTTCCTCTGGTTATCTTTGGAAGTTTTTTATTTATGCGGGAAAAGAAAAAGACTGGGACTGCGACTGCAACAGCTACATCTAACGAGACTAACCCTATTGACACTGACGAAAGACCTGATGATACAGACACGACTGAACATGTCATAACTGGCAGTAGCGATGTACGTCCCAGCAATGCTACTGCCAAAATAGTTTACGACTTAGTAGAACCTCTACTTCACCGCGGACACACGTTAATAATGGACAATTTTTACAATTGTCCATTATTAGCGCGGTGTCTGAAACGACAACAGACAGACTGCTTTGGGACCTTACGACTGAATCGGGAATTCGTTCCCGATTCATTGAAGACAATAACAAAAACAGAACTAAGACAAGGTGAAGTATTGGCAAGCTACTGTTCCGATTTGTCGGTAATCGTATGGCGAGATGCTAACCTAGTTAGCATGCTCTCGACATACCATTCCCTCCAAATCGGTACGCGACAAAAATATGACCGACTGACATACAAGCCAAGCGTTGTCCTGGACTACAATAAGTCCATGGGAGGAGTGGACAGGAAAGACCAGTTCTTGTCTGCTCAGCCCATGAAACGTGTACGAAATAAAATTTGGTATAAAAAGGTATTTCGTCGTCTTTTTAACTGTGCCATTTTTAATTGTTTTGTTTTATTTAAAACGGCTAATCCAAATATATCACACAGACAGTTCAGGACAACTTTGGCGGAAGACTTACTAAAGTTACACCGACATATTGACCTCACGACAGAACCACGACTTATGAATTCGAGAACCGGACTGATGAAAAGGCCAACGACAACCACGACCAGCAGACCTAAAGTCGAGCATCGACATTTCCCAGTTAAAACTGGCTTTAAGCAAAGTCGCTGTTGGTTGTGCGCCCAGCGAAAAGTCACAGCCAGAACTATTTGGAAGTGCCTAGAATGCAACATAAATCTATGCATTGATGGTTGCTTTATGCAGTACCATACATAATTTATTTTGTTTTATTTATTTATTTTAGTTTTAATTTAGTCCTTTTTTTTGTAAATATTTAGTTTGTAATCAATTCCTAGTTTTAAATAAAATATTTAATTAGCAATAAATTTACTTGAAATAGTCAATGATAATTATAGTAAGTAAAGGTTTGTGAAAAAAAAATATATTTATTATGTCAATATACTGTACATTGATTTTATTATTTGTGTTTAATTTAAAACCCCAACTAAAAAAACTCATAACTACCTTTTTTTAAGTTGCGTAAATTACAAAGTGTATATGAGACCTTAGATAGGCGGCCATCTTGCTTATATTTTGCCTTCGCAAGCGAGTCGAAAGCGCTCAAGACATCGCAGTAAAATTACGAGGAGTAGGTGTTTTGTTACAATTTATTTAACTACTTAGCGTTAATTAAACATAAACATCTATGCATTATAAGAAAGGAAAATACGTCTAGTTTGTTGTTGCATTATTTTATTGGTAAAAAAATACAATATTTCTTCGTTGTGGTGTAAATTAATAAAATTTATACGTTTATTTTTCTCCGAATTCAATGTTAACACTCGTTTTTAATATCTTAAATTAAGTTTTTAGATCTTAAAATATACATAGGTTTAATCTGTATTCTTCTATCAATTTTTCGTAGTTTTTTTCTTTACTCTAGCTATTATAGTTAAGAAGCTATGTAGGGTTTTTGTTACAAGATGCGAGCGCGGTAGCACCCGAATCAGGGCCGCGCTTATCCGGACGTACAAGGGTATAACAATCGCGCGGGCTGGACGCTTGAGTGGGTAGCGGCCGAATTGCACGGAGCCCAGTATCCTCCAGTGATGGTGCCTGCAGACGGAGTTAGGTACCGGGACGACGAACCAGCGTGCGGAGGGTGGGTGATGGATGGGGTTCCGGGGCCTCATCTGTACCCGGACTCCCGTTTTCTCGCATCGCGAGTACTATCTGAGCCAGATACCACCACGTCCAGGCGACTCATTGTAGGGTTTAATTTCGGGACAATCAGCCCGCTGGCACGACCTTACTCTGGCGAGACTGGGACAATGGGGGTTAACTCGGTGCTAGACAGGGTTCACAGGGGGAGGAGGTGGACCCACAATAAACCAGACAACCACGCCCCAGCCATGACTCTAAAGACCATGGACTCTATGTCCAGAATGGCGACGTACCTGGGGCTGGTGATTACAGAGGACATACAGAGTGGATTCACTTCGCCGAGAGGAGCACGTTCGTGGTTCAGGATGTTAAGCATGGCTCTAACATTGCAGACGTCACTGCTATTCGCACGTTCAGATTTGTCGAAGCAAATTATGGTCTGATTATGCATGTTGTATATAGTGTAAATCTAATACACAATCAAAAAAATGTATATAAACAATCATGGCATGATTAATGATTAAAGAGTCTGGGTGGGTTACGAAAGTGATGCTCATGACCTGGTGACGAGGAACACGTACACCGAGTTCATAAGAATGGCTACAAATGGACTGTGCGGATACATCGACATTGCATCGATGATAGAGCCGTGGCATGCTTAGGACTAGGACTGCACAGCCGAGTATTATGGGCTGGATCTGGCTGCCGACGCAAATTGGCTGTCTTACCATCCTGTGCCGGCTGTGATGACTACACAGTGGTCACGCAAACTCGGACTAGAGGAGGGAGGGGCTCAGAAGGCCGGCGTGTTCCGGTACCTGGGTGAGCACCGGAAAGGACTGTTGGTGACGCACGATACAGCTTGTAACAAAATGGAGGCGATTGCTACTATCGACTTTGATCGATACGCACCCGTAGTCGTGTACCGCCCCCGATAACGAGAATGAGAGGTTGCGTTCACTGGGCATGTGGGTTGAGTGTGACCCGTATATCACTAACCACATTACAGGGGCACACGCTGCACAACCTTGTACTGTGATGATGAGCGGGACGCCAGCGATTAAAACTCAGTCATTGTTCACTGAGATAATCGAGCCGAGAAGACTTTACATCCTGTTCTCTCGCATGGACAGCAGCAACTCGGACATGACCGCCATCAAGGTGACTGACATACAATACCCCGATCCGATATCACTGGACTCTATCATATCGGCCGCAAAAAACTATCTAGTATACCCAGCTTTGTCGGCCATGCTGGGATTCATCACTGGCGGGCCGACCGGCGCGGTGGTGGCAGGGGCAAGCCATGTCATCAGTAAGGACGTGAAGGACCTGGTTCCGACTCAACACCTGGATGTGGTGAAGGAGGTCTTGGAGAGGACAAAAACGAAGGTGGCGGAGACAGGGGCTGTTGGCGCCCCATTACAGGAGAAAAGACCAGAATGAAGTACAGCACATCAGTACGGGGGGAGCCTTGCCTGCACCTTTTCAACCGGTGTATAACTCGATCTTGGACAGTGGGATCCTGGACGTCATTGACGAGCCACAAGACCTGCGGGTACGTCCGAGCGGACTCGACCAGTTGAAGCGGTTGCGGGGGGGCGTGCCAAAGGATTGGCCCATCCCTCCTGAGATCTCGTGCTCGTGGCCTCTATATTTTTACTACACATGCCTGAAAAAAATAGGCCAATGGCAGAGTGCTAAAGATTTTAGGTACATCTTGGGGGTGATCAGGGCTAGGTGGAATCATAGGAAGACCAGATGTGTCCCTGAGTATATGGACGACTTCTTTAGAATCAACCTCAAAGCGATCAGCGGTTTTTGTTTTCCCATGATATTTTCTGAAGGCCCTGTATTCCAACTTTTCACTCACCTGCACTCCTTGACAGGGAAGTATCCATATACTAAGGAATAGATCTTGAACGATATAGACACATGGGTTAGCGCATCACACTCCGGCGCGCCAAAGGACTTTGACAAGACATCAACCATGAAAACTTTGGACCGTATATTTTCTAAATGGTCCCCTTCAGAACCCCATGGGGCGATGGGCTTCACTGATTATGCCAACGACTTCATGAGATGGGGCACCTCGGGGGGTGGCCCAAAAAGTACAATTATGGGGTCAACATATAGAACAAAACGGGCGTGGGGGTTTGCGCACTACACACATGCAGACGGGTCTCCCAGATCAGACCCAAAGCTATACCAAGACAGTCTAGCTTCGAGATCTGACGCGATGATAGTACTAAAGGAGGAAGCGCCGAAGACCCGTGAAATTATAGCAACACCAATGCCCAGCTATCTGCGCCTTTCTGTATCCGGTAGGTTACATCGTTCATCCTGGTCACAATCCGGTACGGGCCGTCCCATTTAGCTTGAAGCTTAGGAGATTTCCCTTTGCTGCGGACTGGATTGTGCAACCACACAAGTGAACCTTCGTCGAACCCTTTGTTGTTCATTTCGCGGTCGTACCGGGTTTTTATCTTTTCAGACATTTGCTGGCCCGATTGTCTGACGTGCACATGAACGTCATTCATTTTGTTCCGCAAGTCATTTGCATAATCGGTTAAACTGCGTGGAGCATCAGGTGGTATCCCGGTGATCAGGTCTGCAGGCAGCCGTAATTCTCTTCCAAAGTTTGCGAAAGCTGGTGTCACTGCTGTACTTTCGTGAACAGCGCTTCGATATGACAACAAAAACGGTTGTATGTGCTTGTCCCAATCTCGTTGCCGATTGTCTACAACTTCTGCTAGGTACCTCTCCAATGTCTGATTAAATCGTTCTACCATTCCATCAGATTGCGGGTGATAAGAAATCGTTCTTGTTTTATGAGTACCCATAACTCGGCAAGTTTCCTGGAATATTTGAGGCTCAAAATTCCTTCCTTGATCGCTGTGAATCTCTAAAGGTACTCCAAAACGACAGAAGACTTCATGAACGAGTTTATCTGCAACTGTTGAAGCTTCTTGATTTGGACTGGCGAAGACTTCTGGCTAATTAGTGAGGTAATCCATCACAACCATGAAATGCTTGTTACCGCTTTCACTCTCCGGAAACGGCCCCGCCACGTCAATGGCTACTCTCTCCCATGGTGCACCAATATTGTACAACTTCAATGCACCTCTACTACGAGTCTGAGGTCCCTTTACAGCCGCACAACTTGTACATTTGCATTTACATCAAAAAAAAGACATCAAATACATTTTGACACAAGATGACACTGCATTCTTTCCTGCTATTTACCAACTTACAGGCACTATTCCTTTGCATTGACTCCATTGACTGGCATTGACTGTAAGAATAAAGTCTGTAGTTTCAAACTATTTGGTAGAAAAAATATAATATGGTATAAACTAGTTTCTTTAAATTGATGTAAACTGTGTTCGTGTTAAAGTAAAAGTTTAAAAATGAAAATTCACGTAGTTTTTCTGCTTACAAGTGGATTAGTATGTTAATGTCTAATTGATTCAATTTGGCCTGATATTTATGCTCATTCAACATGGCTGTTCACTAACAGGTTATCTTTAACTTTACAGTCTACCAAAAGTCTACTGCTGAACATAGATCTCCCCATAGATTGTCTTATGGGGGGATTTTTGCCATTAATAACCAGTTTTTTTATTTTTCGTTGTTATTAGATAAACGCTAATTCTTCCTTACCTTACACCCGTATTTGTATGCCTTTGTACTTATTATACAAGTAATATTTTTTACCTTAAATGACATTAGTATAAATAAAACGGGTTGGGTTTACAATTCGGTCGCCTCAATTTGAAGATTCTGATACTGTGGGGGGCGTCAAGGGGGTTTATCTGGAGCACCCACACGCGAGTTTTGCTACCGGAGCAGCATCGAAGTATTTTTATTTATTTTTTGAAAATATTGGTAAATGACTAATTAATTAAATATTCTCACGTTTTTGACGTTTAATCTGTCAATGTCATATCGATATATAGTACTAAATCGATCTAGTGAATCGATATTTCACCCTAGAGAATCAAGATCGAATCTTTTCTGTTTTGTTAAGATTTACAAAATTATTTATAATTAGTTGAAAGTACCCCAACTCGTAAAGAATGACAGTTTTTCAATTTAATCATTCGATGTTATCTGAAACTTTAAAGAACTTGGGCTTAGTGAAATATTATTAATAATTCTAAAATAATTGCTTCTTGTCTGAAATGTGATGTATTATTTATTTCTATTTAAATAAGTAGTGCCACAAAAATATTATAAGGGGAAACAATTGCATGCTAATATTTATAATTTTAAAAGACATTAAAACTATTTAGTGCTAGTAAGATTGAAATAAATAGAACAATAATAAATATTATTAATATTTAGAGTAGACACTGTAAAACTATAGTCCATTCTGTTAGTTGATAAAAAAATAACTTTTTTCAGGTGGATCGTTTAGAACGAGTATGCAGTCCTTGCTGGCTGAGGGCTTCCAGAGCTGTATGGAGACAGAGAAAACAAAATGAGAACAGGGATATGGAGTTACAATCCATGAATATAGAAGACATCGGTAACATCGCACAACCACCCCCTATACCTGCACCTGTAACCCCTGCCATTTCCAGAGTGGTATCAACAATTACTATGGCTAATTATAAGCGTGCTGCTTCTACTTCCCGTCACGTCCCGCGCGGATGATGCCCACCCCTTCCCGGCCCCAACCGCGATTGACGACCTAATCAACATCTGGTGGGTACCTTTTGAGGCGGCTGCAGGTGGTTCAGACATCGTTATGGCCATAAACGGAATAGAGAGCAAACTCGCTATTGATGGGGTGGCCCGTCAGGCCTGTAGTGTAGCGGCCGAATTGCACGGAGCCCAGTATCCTCCAGCGATGGTGCCTGCGGACGGAGTCAGGTACCGCGACGACGAACCAGTGTGCGGAGGGTGGGTGATGGATGGGGATCCGGGGCCTCATCTGTACCCGGACTCCCGTTTTCTCGCATCGCGAGTACTATTTGAGCCAGATACCACCACGTCCAGGAGACTCATTGTGGGGTTTAATTTCGGGACAATCAGCCCGCTGGCACGACCTTACTCTGGCGAGACTGGGACAATGGGGGTTAACTCGGTGCTAGACAGGGTTCACAGGGGGAGGAGGTGGACCCACAATAAACCAGACAACCACGCCCCAGCCATGACTCTAAAGACCATGGACTCTATGTCCAGAGTGGCGACGTACCTGGGGCTGGTGATTACAGAGGACATACAGAGTGGATTCACTTCGCCGAGAGGAGCACGTTCGTGGTTCAGGATGTTAAGCATGGCTCTGACATTGCAGACGTCACTGCTATTCGCACGTTCAGATTTGTCGAAGCAAATTATGGTCTGATTATGCATGTTGTATATAGTGTAAATCTAATACACAATCAAAAAAATGTATATAAACAATCATGGCATGATTAATGATTAAAGAGTCTGGGTGGGTTACGAAAGTGATGCTCATGACCTGGTGACGAGGAACACGTACACCGAGTTCATAAGAATGGCTACAAATGGACTGTGCGGATACATCGACATTGCATCGATGATAGAGCCGTGGCATGCTTAGGACTAGGACTGCACAGCCGAGTATTATGGGCTGGATCTGGCTGCCGACGCAAATTGGCTGTCTTACCATCCTGTGCCGGCTGTGATGACTACACAGTGGTCACGCAAACTCGGACTAGAGGAGGGAGGGGCTCAGAAGGCCGGCGTGTTCCGGTACCTGGGTGAGCACCGGAAAGGACTGTTGGTGACGCACGATACAGCTTGTAACAAAATGGAGGCGATTGCTACTATCGACTTTGATCGATACGCACCCGTAGTCGTGTACCGCCCCCGATAACGAGAATGAGAGGTTGCGTTCACTGGGCATGTGGGTTGAGTGTGACCCGTATATCACTAACCACATTACAGGGGCACACGCTGCACAACCTTGTACTGTGATGATGAGCGGGACGCCAGCGATTACAACTCAGTCATTGTCCACTGAGATAATCGAGCCGAGAAGACTTTACATACTGTTCTCTCGCATGGACAGCAGCAACTCGGACATGACCGCCATCAAGGTGACTGACATACAATACCCCGATCGGATATCACTGGACTCTATCATATCGGCCGCAAAAAACTATCTAGTATACCCAGCTTTGTCGGCCGTGCTGGGATTCATCACGGGCGGGCCGACCGGCGCGGTGGTGGCAGGGGCAAGCCATGTCATCAGTCAGGACGTGAAGGACCTGGTTCCGACTCAACACCTGGATGTGGTGAAGGAGGTCTTGGAGAGGACAAAAACGAAGGTGGCGGAGACAGGGGCTGTTGGCGCCCCATTACAGGAGAAAAGACCAGAATGAAGTACAGCACATCAGTACGGGGGGGAGCCTTGCCTGCACCTTTTCAACCGGTGTATAGCTCGATCTTGGACAGTGGGATCCTGGACGTCATTGACGAGCCACAAGACCTGCGGGTACGTCCGAGCGGACTCGACCAGTTGAAGCGGTTGCGGGGGGGCGTGCCAAAGGATTGGCCCATCCCTCCTGAGATCTCGTGCTCGTGGCCTCTATATTTTTACCACACATGCCTGAAAAAAATAGGGCAATGGCAGAGTGCTAAAGATTTTAGGTACATCTTGGGGGTGATCAGGGCTAGGTGGAATCATAGGAAGACCAGATGTGTCCCTGAGTATACGGACGACTTCTTTAGAATCAACCTCAAAGCGATCAGCGGTTTTTGTTTTCCCATGATATTTTCTGAAGGCCCTGTATTCCAACTTTTCACTCACCTGCACTCCTTGACAGGGAAGTATCCATATACTAAGGAACAGATCTTGAACGATATAGACACATGGGTTAGCGCATCACACTCCGGCGCGCCAAAGGACTTTGACAAGACATCAACCATGAAAACTTTGGACCGTATATTTTCTAAATGGTCCCCTTCAGAACCCCATGGGGCGATGGGCTTCACTGATTATGCCAACGACTTCATGAGATGGGGCACCTCGGGGGGTGGCCCAAAAAGTACAATTATGGGGTCAACATATAGAACAAAACGGGCGTGGGGGTTTGCGCACTACACACATGCAGACGGGTCTCCCAGATCAGACCCAAAGCTATACCAAGACAGCCTAGCTTCGAGATCTGACGCGATGATAGTACTAAAGGAGGAAGCGCCGAAGACCCGTGAAATTATAGCAACACCAATGCCCAGCTATCTGCGCCTTTCTGTATCCGGTAGGTTACATCGTTCATCCTGGTCACAATCCGGTACGGGCCGTCCCATTTAGCTTGAAGCTTAGGAGATTTCCTTTGCTGCGGACTGGATTGTGCAACCACACAAGTGAACCTTCGTCGAACCCTTTGTTGTTCATTTCGCGGTCGTACCGGGTTTTTATCTTTTCAGACATTTGCTGGCCCGATTGTCTGACGTGCACATGAACGTCATTCATTTTGTTCCGCAAGTCATTTGCATAATCGGTTAAACTGCGTGGAGCATCAGGTGGTATCCCGGTGATCAGGTCTGCAGGCAGCCGTAATTCTCTTCCAAAGTTTGCGAAAGCTGGTGTCACTGCTGTACTTTCGTGAACAGCGCTTCGATGTGACAACAAAAACGGTTGTATGTGCTTGTCCCAATCTCGTTGCCGATTGTCTACAACTTCTGCTAGGTACCTCTCCAATGTCTGATTAAATCGTTCTACCATTCCATCAGATTGCGGGTGATAAGAAGTCGTTCTTGTTTTATGAGTACCCATAACTCGGCAAGTTTCCTGGAATATTTGAGACTCAAAATTCCTTCCTTGATCGCTGTGAATCTCTAAAGGTACTCCAAAACGACAGAAGACTTCATGAACGAGTTTATCTGCAACTGTTGAAGCTTCTTGATTTGGACTGGCGAAGACTTCTGGCTAATTAGTGAGGTAATCCATCACAACCATGAAATGCTTGTTACCGCTTTCACTCTCCGGAAACGGCCCCGCCACGTCAATGGCTACTCTCTCCCATGGTGCACCAATATTGTACAACTTCAATGCACCTCTACTACGAGTCTGAGGTCCCTTTACAGCCGCACAACTTGTACATTTGCATTTACATCAAAAAAAAGACACCAAATACATTTTGACACAAGATGACACTGCATTCTTTCCTGCTATTTACCAACTTACAGGCACTATTTCTTTGCATTGACTCCATTGACTGGCATTGACTGTAAGAATAAAGTCTGTAGTTTCAAACTATTTGGTAGAAAAAATATAATATGGTATAAACTAGTTTCTTTAAATTGATGTAAACTGTGTTCGTGTTAAAGTAAAAGTTTAAAAATGAAAATTCACGTAGTTTTTCTGCTTACAAGTGGATTAGTATGTTAATGTCTAATTGATTCAATTTGGCCTGATATTTATGCTCATTCAACATGGCTGTTCACTAACAGGTTATCTTTAACTTTACAGTCTACCAAAAGTCTACTGCTGAACATAGATCTCCCCATAGATTGTCTTATGGGGGGATTTTTGCCATTAATAACCAGTTTTTTTTATTTTTCGTTGTTATTAGATAAACGCTAATTCTTCCTTACCTTACACCCGTATTTGTATGCCTTTGTACTTATTATACAAGTAATATTTTTTACCTTAAATGACATTAGTATAAATAAAACGGGTTGGGTTTACAATTCGGTCGCCTCAATTTGAAGATTCTGATACTGTGGGGGGCGTCAAGGGGGTTTATCTGGAGCACCCACACGCGAGTTTTGCTACCGGAGCAGCATCGAAGTATTTTTATTTATTTTTTGAAAATATTGGTAAATGACTAATTAATTAAATATTCTCACGTTTTTGACGTTTCATCTGTCAATGTCATATCGATATATAGTAGTAGTCGTGTACTCCCCCCCCCGATAACGAGAATGAGAGGTTGCGTTCACTGGGCATGTGGGTTGAGTGTGACCCGTATATCACTAACCACATGACAGGGGCACACGCTGCACAACCTTGTACTGTGATGATGAGCGGGACGCCAGCGATTACAACTCAGTCATTGTCCACTGAGATAATCGAGCCGAGAAGACTTTACATACTGTTCTCTCGCATGGACAGCAGCAACTCGGACATGACCGCCATCAAGGTGACTGACATACAATACCCCGATCCGATATCACTGGACTCTATCATATCGGCCGCAAAAAACTATCTAGTAAACCCAGTTTTGTCGGCCGTGCTGGGATTCATCACGGGCGGGCCGACCGGCGCGGTGGTGGCAGGGGCAAGCCATGTCATCAGTCAGGAAAGGCCTGGTTCCGACTCAACACCTGGATGTGGTGAAGGAGGTCTTGGAGAGGACAAAAACGAAGGTGGCGGAGACAGGGGCTGTTGGCGCCCCATTACAGCAGAAAAGACCAGAATGAAGTACAGCACATCAGTACGGGGGGGAGCCTTGCCTGCACCTTTTCAACCGGTGTATAGCTCGATCTTGGACAGTGGGATCCTGGACGTCATTGACGAGCCACAAGACCTGCGGGTACGTCCGAGCGGACTCGACCGGTTGAAGCGGTTGCGGGGGGGCGTGCAAAAGGATTGGCCCATCCCTCCTGAGGTCTCGTGCTTGTGGCCTCTATATTTTTACTATACACGCCTGAAAAAAATAGGCCAATGGCAGAGTGCTAAAGATCTTAGGTATATCTTGGGGGTGATCAGGGCTAGGTGGAATCATAGGAAGACCAGATGTGTCCCTGAGTATATGGACGACTTCTTTAGAATCAACCTCAAAGCGATCAGCGGTTTTTGTTTTCCGAAGATATTTTCTGAAGGCCTGTACCAACTCGGTCCCGTTCGGTACAGGTGCGTCAGATGCAGAATACTGATGCACCTGCACCTTCGCAACCAGTTCAACCAGGATCTGTGCCGTCTACATCAGCGCACCAGGAGTACTATGTTGGGGAATCCCGACAGAAAAACACTGCTACCAGAACCGGGACCCAAGGAAATATTTTAGAATATGCACGAATTCGAAGACCTTTACGTACCGAAGAAAAAAAGCATATAGATGCCGTGTTTTTAAAGCTCATTGCAAGAACGTTCCAACCGTTCCTTACGTTGATGAACCTGATTTTGTAGAATTTGTAGAGGCGTTAAACCCTAATTATGTTTTACCGGGATGTAAAGTGTTAGAAAGGCTAATACCATGTTTATACAACAGATGTTTAGAAGAACAAAAAAGGATATTGCGTCAGGAAGCAGTAATAATTTGTCTCTACCGATTACTGGACGTTTGTTAAAATGAACGCTTTTATAGGTGTCACTGCTCATTTTATTAACAATCACTTTGAATTCAAATCAGTGGTGCTGAAATGCAGTGGTAATGCATAGTGTACACACAAGCCAAAATCTTACATCAGTTTTAAAAAATACGTGTATGGAATGCGGTGTATTAGATAAGATTAATTTTTGTGTAACGGATAATGCTGCCAATATAGTCGAAGCAATCAATATTTTACGCTGGACACATTGTGGCTGCATGGCTCATAAGCTGAACCTCACTTTGCAGCACCCGTTAAGAATATTGAACGACACTTTAAAAAAAGTAAAGAAAATAGTGACGTACTATCGAGCTAGCTACAAGGACAAAGAAAAGCTTATGGAGTACCAAGCCAAAGTACAAGGCGCTAGCCAACCTTTGGTACTGATCAATTCCGTGCCAATAAGATGGAACTCCACCTATTTTATGACAGAACGCTTTGTCCATCTTCAAGATGCAGTCGGGGCAACAGTACCAATTCTCGACGTAGATTTACCTATAATAAAAGGTGAAGAGTGGACTGCGCTTAGACAGCTCTGCAAAGTATTAAAATCATTTGATGAAGCGACGAAAGAACTAAGTGCAGAAAAATATGAGTGCGCTTCAAAGCTATTGCCGTCATAAGCACGTTGAATGATGTGATGGATGAGATAAAACGAAAACCAGCTTATTTTGATGCTATAAAAACATAGTTCAATGCATCGAAACCCAATTAAAAAGTAGATTTGGAGATCTTGAGCACGAGCAATCTTTGGCATTGTGCACAATATTGGACCCGAGGTACAAAATATCAATATTCATTGACGAAAGTGCAGCTGAAAGGGCCAAGTCCAACCTTCTGACAAACGTCTATAATCTCATGACAGACGAGACAGAGCCAAATCCTTTAGCTACCGCGGCGCCCTAGTCAAGCAGAGAGGACGACGAGGAAATTAGTTTGTGGAGAAAAAGAAATTCAATCTTAGAAAAAAGAATGGTTAAGCCTAACCAAAATCTTTTTCAAACCGCTCAACGGGAAGTAGAATTGTACCTGCAAGATGAGTTTGTACATAATAGCTGTGACCCTTGCGAGTGGTGGCGATCCAGCGGCCGATACAAATATACAAATATCTGGGCAAATTATTTATTACAAACTGCAACATAGTCGCGACTACAGTGCCCAGTGAGAGACTTTTTTCAAAAGCTGGTTACACGTCGTCAGAGAGAAGAACAAGGCTTTCTGTCAAAAAAACCGAACAGTTGGTATTTTTAAATTTTAGTTTGAAAAATTCTGACTACAAAAAACAAATGCCATAAAAGAACATACAGTCGAATTGAGAACCCCCTCCTTTTTAAGAAGTCGGTTGAAAATGTTAAATAAATTTGTAAATAATATACATTATATGTAAAAACTAAATCATGTAAATACGATCAAGTGAACTTATAAATACGCCAGTTTATAACATTTTACTGCCAGTCAGATAAAGGAAAGTTCACAAAATCTAAAACATCAAAAGGTTTTAAATTGTTAAATATCTTTAATTATAATAGTATGATCATTCATTATCTTAATCACAACACAATGCAAGTGTACTAGTAGAAATAAAACGTTATCGGCGAGCAAACTAAACGCACGCTAGGACACGACGTCCTCCTTCCTTCATAAGCCGAACGCGCTCTTAATTCGTATAATAACAAAATTCATATAATTATTTAGGTAATATCAATTATAGTTATATTAGCAAATAGCATATCAATACCAATTATCACGCTAAGACTCAAGAATTCGCATGCTAACGAAATTTATGCGAAATCGCATTAATTACCATCACTACCGCTAAGTCGTCGCAGCGTCAGGTTAGTGAACTTTTTTGACAGTTGCGCAGCTGTGGCGCCCTTGTTTAGTGGATTCGGGTTGCGTTTACGTATTTGAATAAAATTTAGTTATAATAATTGCAGATTTAGTGATAAAACTATATAAAACCATCAAATAAACTAATAATCATCAAGCTAAAGTTACAGTAAAGTCGTGATTCAGTCAATGTAAGTTTTTATTCCTTAATTTGCGACCGTTGTTTTTTAGTGTTTTAGCAAAAAACATCGGTACCATTTAAGGATGGTATTTTTAAACATAATTTGCTCTTTTACTTAAAATAAATCATCAAAGTCTAATATATCATTTGAAAGATATTGTTTTAAGGAATTCGTAAGTGTATGTTGTATGTACCAAATTACCTGCACAAGATTTTTGGTAGGCAGGTTGGCAACGGAAAAAGGAAGTAAATACAGGAAATAAAATCAGCAGCAACTTCAAAAAACTGTTAGATTAGTAAAAGATGAAGGTAAGACTATATACAAAGCTACTAAAGAAGCAGAAGTTCCATGGAGCACTTTGAAGCGTTATCTGGAAAATGAAGAGGATTCTGTAAGAAAAATGGGGCGGCTTATTGTCCTTCCGGCTTTCGGCCGAAAAAATTTGAAATTGAATTTCGGAAGAACCGAAAGACCTTTTATTCCTCATTACCCTTTTCTTGGAGAGGGGTAACAATGTCCCAAAGATTTTGTTGAAGTGTGACAAGACAGTTTCAGAGACTATACAGAGGAAATGCAGTGCATACGGGATAAGTACAACCCAGCGTCCACCAGGAAGCATACTGGATGCCAAAACCATAACTTTGGCTAGACTCTCTCAGTCATTCCCGGCAGTGACAGCATCAATCATTATAGGGCATCTCATAGAAGGGAAACTCAAGAGCAAGATCTTTAGAGGAGTTTCATTGCCTCTAATAATGCAGCACTCAATTTTCCCGAGCTTGATCCCAGATGACTCAGATGATCTCATTGAGTTGCCCAAAATCCTAAATTTAGAGATGTCTATCCTCCTGTCAACCCCAAAGGAGAAGAGGAGAATGGAGAAAACCAGCCTGAGTGACCTCTATGAAAGGTCAGAGTCATATGTGGCTGCTGCGGTAAACGGTTCTTTGGTCCCCAATGGTGTGAGGGCTACTATTCTCAAGAAGGCAGGAATAATTGAAGATAAAGATTATTCTGTGACTGTGAAAGCAATGATTGCTCAAGGGATGGCTGCTAGAATGTTAGGTAACCTTTCCTATTCAGAGGTGGTTCGTAGATTGGCAGAAAATGAGAGGGCTGGAGAGAAAACAGAAGGTGAGGGAAACTAATGGCAGATGATGAGGGGGCACTTGCCTCTTCATCTGTAGAGGTTAAAGTGCACAAACACAACAAGGCAATCCAGTGTAAGTTGTCTCGAAAACTGGTTGAAGGATACCCTCTCAAACACACAGTGGGAATGGTGATGATTCCCGACCCTCCACCATTGCCTTCTTGCGATGTGTCCATACCCTGCTCCTCAACCTGGAGCCCTGACTCGCTACCGGAACAAATAGCTAGGAAGGAAATACAAGCACCTGGACTTTAAGACCAAACTGAAAGCAGGCCCTGGCTCAGCTCATATGGCTGACATTGCGAAAGAGTTGAAGGCCGGGTCGTCAGTTCAATTCCAGGTACTCGATCGGGTGGTATTGGAGGTGTTGGCGGAAGTGGGGAGGTGGGGTCCCTCTGCCGCGCGGGGAACAGGGGCTATTGGGGCAGCGCAGTACACATTCTCTCCTTTCGCAAGGATCTTCAACTCGTGCAGTTTGTTCCGGAGTGTTGATACCCAGTCCTGCATTGAGTCCCAGTCTGGAGCCAGCATCCTGACTGGCCCCTGATCTGTGTCAATCAGTAAGTCGTACTCATCCCCCACATGTGGCTTAACACTGGCTGTGACATGTCTGTCTGATCGTAAGCACACCCTCCTTTCGGCTTACTGTCTTCTGACTTAGTTTTTAAAACTTTATAAATATTATAGAAATGCAAGAATTGGGATTTGAGCTAACTGTTTATCAGATAAGAAAATCGGTACATGAACGATAACCCTAGAGATGCTCCAAATCGTAGCAACTTCCATTCCATAATGAACCCAGCATTTATAAGCGCCTTTACTAAAAAAAAACATCGAAAATGCTTTTAAAAAAACAGGCATATGCCCTTTAAGCGGCAATGTAGTTCCAAAAGAAGCATTACGACCTTCATCTTTAACTGACACTGCTCCTGCTTCTTTACCTACAACTTCAACAAACGCAGCATCTGAAAGTTGTACTTCAAAACTTGAACTCACAGTAGACGACATTTTAAAAACACCCAAAGACTTAGGACGTCCAGAGGTCAAAAAAGGAGATTCTAGTGCGAAATGCTTAAGACTGACTAATGAAAAGGTTATGCAAGAAGAACTTCAATCTCAGCCTACCACTTCGGGTAAATCAGGATCTAAAACAAAAAAAAGTAAAGAAGATGTTTGGGAGTGTGACTTATGTGAAGTCTTATACTCAACAGATGTTAAAAAAAGAATGGAGCCAAATGGATCCAATGCTCATATTGCTTGACGCCATACCACGAGGTATGCGCATCTATAGAAGATACTGACCTTGAGGAACAACTATATTATAGATGTGATCGTTGTATCGAATAATATTTTTAGATATTTGACTATATTTACAGTTTCCAAAATATCACCATATTTCCTATCTACTATCACCAATCTACCGGACTATGTCGCCAACTTACCTTAGATAACCTTGTATGATTGTTTGTCATTTATTATAAAACTTATTAGTGTTTAGTTCAGATAAGTGATATAGGTAGTTACTTCAAATACTAAGTAAAGTAATAAAGAAAAGTGATTTGTTGTATTGTTTTTGAAGAATTATATAATGCGTAAGTTTCATTTTTTATCGCCAACATAACTTTCCTTACCCTACATGTAAAGTGCCTCTTTACTTACGCAAAGGTGAAACATGTTTTGCAATTCCATTGGAACTTAAAAATTGCCTGAACTCGTTACTGAAAAATGGAACTCGTTACTGAAAAATGAAGGACCGTTATCACTAACCACTTGTTTCGGTAAACCGAATCTCGCCCACATTTCTCGCAACTCCTTTATAACAGCTTTCGCTGTAGTGCTATTCATTTTAATTGGCTCTATGCACTTTGAATGAGCATCAACTACAATAAGGAAAGTTTGTCCCGCTATCTATGTGTATCCTGGTCCATGGGCGGTCCGGCTGCGCACACGGTGCAGGCACGGCACGCTGCTTCTACAGCCTCGTCTATGCCCGGCCACCACAAATAGCTCCGAGCCAGCGCCTTCGTTTTTACTACCCCCATATGCCCCTCATGAAGCTCCGTAATAACTTTATCCCTGCAAGAGTCTGGAATAACGACTCTATGTCCCCACATTACAGAACCTAGTTCCATGTACAAAACATTTTTTCTGTTAATATATGGTTTTAATTCTCTCATTTCGACGTGGTTCGGCCAACCGTCATTAATATATCTGACTACTCTGCTTAATATAATATCCGACGCCGTTTCTTTTTTTAATTTATGTGATTCCAATAGTAACGCTTCTGAAGCAAAATGTAAATATGTTTGTTCTGGGGGTGTCTAATTCTTCCTTAAAAACCCCTTCCTTATGCTCACTAATCAACCTAGACAAAACATCTGCTGTATTTTTGTCCGTGCGAATGTATTCTATATTAAAATCATAAGCGGATAACTTAATAGCCCAGCGTTGTAGTCGACTAGCCGCCGTGTTGGGAATACCCGCCTGCGGTCCAAAGATTGTGACTAACGGTTTATGATCCGTACGTAAAGTGAACTTTCTACCAAATAAATATTGATGGAATTTGTCCATTGCAAATACTATCGCGAGGGCTTCTTTATGAATCTGACTATAGTGTTGTTCAGCGGAGGTGAGAGCGCGAGACGCATACGCCACCATCCGCTCGCCACCACCGACGGGCGCGCGCTGCGACAGCACTGCGCCGAGCCCACGCGAGCTGGCATCGCATGTTACTATGCTCTCCAACGACATATCAAAATGTGTCAACACTTCCGCACTACACAAAAGCTTTTTAATTTTATTGTAGTGTGTGCTTATATATATATATATATATATATATATATATATATATATATATATATATATATATATATATATATATATATATATATATATATATATATATATATATATATATATATATATATATATATATATATATATATATATATATGTAGGATAGAATATGGGAAAGTTAGTAATAAACCTACAGTCAAGACCACTAGACGTATTATCATTTATTCCCCGAATCTCCCCACATTACATGGCGACCCTGCCAAGCGGTGCACTGCTATAATGCAAGCGCACCACCGTGACCTGCATAGAAATTGAAGTAATTGATTGAAAATAAATAAATCAAAATAAATATATGAAAATAATATATTAATAAAATGAACATAATACCGGACGTGACAAATAATTTTTTAAATACGTATGAATACAGGAAGGGCAAAAATGCGAGGAAAAAAATCGAAGTCGCTTATACAGGGTGTCCGGTTTCCGATGTCCGATACTTTAAGGGGTTAAAATACAATTAATTTTATCGACAAATCAGGAATCAATGATTTTTTTTTCGCCATCAATAAAAAAATGGCAGCACTTTAAAAAAAATTGTTGGCGAAGCATAGATGCTTGTATTAATTTAACAATATCTACCCAAGTAGAAGACTTTCAAAAACAAAATTGGTCTCAAATGTTAGTTAATAGTGTAGACAATAAATCTAGATTCAAAATATTATTTTTTAATTTTTCAGTATTAGTAAAAAACATTTTTGAAAAAATAAATTAGACAACAAATTGATGTTGTTTTTCAGATTCTTAGCTTTAAAAAAAACCATCATGTTAACCAATTTTTTTTACTTGTTTTTATTATAATACAGGATATTTGCTATAAATGCACATTTAAATCTTAACTCTGAGTTAGATAGTTTAGGAGCTATGATAATTTGAATGTAACTGTTCAAAGTGCCTCTACCCCGATATTAGATAACTAAACACCCATTCCAGTGAGTAAGATAAAATTCTTCAATAATTCAAGGAATCGTAAGCAAGCACAATAGCATCCTTTGTGTGAGCAGGTAAAAAACGCTGTGCACAACAGTGCGAACGAGACAGAATAACGGCTGTCTCCAGGTAAAAAAGGGTGCAGTGTGCGCTTGTGCCGTCGAGCAGTCGTCCCTCGCTCTGCGTTGTGATAACATTCCTGGTTTTAAGTAAATCTACTTACTGTACATAATTATTGTTTGTTGCTAGACTTTGTTACGTTTTTGTTTTGTTGTTGAACTGTTACTTTTTGTTTATTACAATGAACGAGTACTAAAGCCAGCATATCGCTGACATCCATTTCGTGTATGGATTGTGTAACGGGAGTGCAAATAGAGCTGTTGTAGAGTATGCACGCAGATTTCTTAACAGACGTACGCCGAATGCTCGCACTTTCGTGAGAATTCATTTGAGACTTGCGGAAAATGGAATAAGAAGGCTCGGTAACGAACGTACTCGTGTTTTGTCGCTCCAAGATGAACATCAAATATTGCAAAAGATTACTCAAGACCCTAGCCTAAGCATTAGACGCATAGCTAATCGTCTCAGTCTATCAAAATGGTCGGTGTGGAAAATTTTAAAAAGAGAAGGATTACATCCTTACCATTTTCGAAGGGTGCAAGAAATACTGGAACCGGATTATGTAAGAAGAGCAATATTTTGTTCGTGGATATTGAGAGAAACGCGATATGATCCAAACTTTTTAAAAAGAATTATGTGGACAGACGAAGCTACTTTCACGCGATCAGGGTATACGAACTACCGTAACGAACACCTGTGGCTTCAAGAAAATCCACATGCGATCCGCCCTAGTTCTTTTCAACATAAATTTTATGTCAACGTTTGGGCCGGAATGATTGACGACATTCTAATTGGACCAATCATTTTACCGGAGACAATGAATAGCCCAAGATTCCTAAATTTCCTGGAAACGAATTTTTTGGATGCTTTATTGGAGTTACCATTGGCCTACAGGGCCAGAATGATTCTGCAATTGGATGGTGCTCCGGCACACTTCGCGCTTCTTGTGCGGAATCATTTAAATGCACACTATTCGTCGTGGATCGGACGCGGAGGAAAAATTGCTTGGCCACCGCGGTCGCCGGATTTAACACTTCTCGATTTTTTTTTGTGGGGCACACTCAAACGAAGAGTGTATGTAAGTGTGCCAAATACACGAGAGGAGTTAGCAGAAAAAATAATTCAAGCAGCAAACGAATTGCGAGAAGACAAGGCAATGATCCAGCGCTCTACGCAACACGTTGCACTAAGAGCAACAGCATGTCTGCAGAGACAAGGAGGTCACTTTGAGCAGTTTTTGTAATTATTTTGCCAAATTAAATGCAATTGATATAAATTATTTTGTTTTATTTCATTTGCTAGTGTATCCGCGCTTTTCAAGTAAGTATGTTTACACTGTCATAGCTCCTAAACTATCTAACTCAGAGTTAAGATTTAAATGTGCATTTATAGCAAATATCCTGTATTATAATAAAAACAAGTAAAAAAATTGGTTAACACGATGGTTTTTTTTAAAGCCAAGAATCTGAAAAACAACATCAATTTGTTGCCTAATTTATTTTTTCAAAAATGTTTTTTACTAATACTGAAAAATTAAAAAATAATATTTTGAATCTAGATTTATTGTCTACACTATTAACTAACATTTGAGACCAATTTTGTTTTTGAAAGTCTTCTACTTGTGTAGATATTGTTAAATTAATACAAGCATCTATGCTTCGCCAACAATTTTTTTTAAAGTGCTGCCATTTTTTTATTGATGGCGAAAAAAAATCATTGATCCCTGATTTGTCGATAAAATTAATTGTATTTTAACCCCTTAAAGTATCGGACATCGGAAACCGGACACATTGTATACTTAAAAAAAATGTTATAGAAGAAATGAAGAAAAGACCTGATAAATTATACAAGAAGCTCCAGTAACATTGTTATTAAATCAAGAAGACAAGAGAGAAAATTTCCAAGAAAGAAGATTCCAATACACAGAAAACACATTAATCAAAATTCCCTCAAGAGAAGAGTACCAACTTTATCAAAAATAAATATGAAATAAAAAAGAAGAGTACGAGGAAGTCCAGGCCCAACCACATCGAGGAGCTAACAACATCTTCTGGTGCCAGAGCAGCAGAAAGAAGTCAGGGGTACAACGAGCGACTAGCCAAGTTCTGTAGCAGGTACAAGACATCTCGAAAGCACCGAATGTAAGTCTAATTATATAATAGTGTCGATGTCTATTGTCAAATTATATTAACTTATATAATGTTATACACAGAACTGGGGAAAGAAATTTTTTAAATCATTCATTAAAAAATAGAAAAAAAAACATTAGTACTATTCATAGAAAAATTCGAAATTATGTATTATACCGCAATAATTAATCGGTAAATAACTACTTAATAATGATAATAATAATAAGTGTTTTGCAAGAATATGGTGTATAAGTATAATTTAGTTCTACATATTCTACCATAGTAATGTGTAAATTTTAATGGACAAGTAACTAAAACAATATTTATCGAAATTTTAACAACATATAAATTATTCAATATTTTTTTAATTGATATACCATATCAATTTTCTTCTAATTATTTATGTAACAGCGTCAGAGGAAATACCAACGTAAGAATATTATTATAGCTCATTGTCATATACTTGTAATAATTAATTTGTCAGTCATTATATACTATAAATTACAAATGTTACAACCAATTATTATCATTAATTTGTTTCTGTATTTATGTCAAATTTATTAATTCCTCATTAAGCATTGTTAAAAAAAACATTTATCACTAAGAACGTCGTTATTGTATAACTTCTCTTAATAAAGAATAACAATAACATTTAAAGGTACATAACACCAACATATTGTTACGCGCTCCAATCAACGATACACTAGCGCCATCTAGTGTCAGGAACGAGAGCGAGGGGAGCATTGAGAAAATGACATCACAAATCGCTCAACTGACAGCGCCTAGTCGAAACTCGAACGCTCGGTACCTTCCGCGTGTTTACTTGAACATTCTGGATATTTCTTTGCTAATTCAAATATATAGGCGCTGCAAGATGCGATCGAGGCAGTGTTGATTTGGGCGAAACAAGCGAAGCTTCGGAGTGGAATTAAGTGAATTAGTGTGTTTAAATTATTAGTGTTTTAACTTTAATTGTGTAAAGTAAATTAAAGTGTTAATTTAGGTAATTTTATCGGCAATTTTTATTGTCACGAACCTCAAGCTCGTAACAATATTCTTATACAGGCCATAATAAAAACCGAAGAGAAACTGACTAGAAAAATGCTATTCTATTATAAAATATGTACGTCGCCGGCCTAAGTGAGTTTTAATAGTAATGTTTCTTAACTGAGTTGAGCTTTGACTGAAAAAATATTATCCCATTTTGTACAAAAAATAGCAAGGATGTATTTAAAAGGTGTGAAGAATGAAAGAAAGAAATGTTCAAAAATGGGAATACGAATGATTGAGTAGCTAAGTTTCGTCAATATTAGACTGATCACCCAAATATTTGATGATGCTTAAACTACTAGTTATTGAATCCGTTAAGAGTGAGAATTATGAAAGCATGAAAGGAATAAATATAAAAGAAAATAATTGACATTAATAAATAGGTAGGTAATGGAGAGATACGGGAACGTTCATCACTGGTATAACATATAGTCCTCGAGCAGGGTATGTTTCCGTGATTGGATGATAAAATCGGGCGTAATGGGTACTAGTGAACAGTACCTTCAGTACAAGTGATGTACGAGTTTACACATATTAGTACTGTTAGGGACCATAGAAGTCTTAAATTTGTTACCCTTAATAATGGTACATGGAGGTCATATCCTTCATTGGATCACAGTGTATTAGGACTATTAATGCTACCCAAAATGCGACTAAGAAGTTACACATGTAATAACTATAGGGATCGATTTACACAACTACGCGAAAATGTGTTATGTGTGTGTATGTATTGTGCGCGTAATTGTTTTTACCACATTTGTATATGAATTTACGAGATTTTTCTTTCATATTTAGACACATTAATTCATATTTACAATAAATCTGGTTGATTTTTTTGTCATGTTTTTTTTTTATGTAAAACTCGTACATTTTTGAGAGATGATTCTTCAGCGTCTATTTTTAAAAAATGTGATAATTTTAAAAATAGTCGCTGAAGAATCATCTCTCAAAAAGGATGAACTTGAGTCTCAAAGGAAACTACATCTTTTAAAGGCTGAATCTGCAAGAAATAATTTTAAGATAGATAAGAATAGAGCTGCAAATGATTCTTATTTAACAGTTATAGTATTTGATCTCATGAAAACTTTACCTACTCCTGTTATTTCTACAGGAATTTGCTGTTATAAGACAGCTTTGGACATACTGTCTGGGAATTCATAATGCTCATAATGATGAAGTTACAATGTATGTGTGGAATGAAACAATAGCCTCAAGAGGTCCACAGAAGATCGGTTCCTGCCTGTTGCGTTTCATCAAAGAGAAAGTCAAGACTAAAAGCTTATTTATGTACTCAGACCAGTGCGGTGGTCAAAATAGAAATATTAAAATGGCCACTCTTTGCCAGTATATTGTTGCCCATCCAGATTACACAGAAGATAACATGTCTATGTTATCTTCTGTGTAATCTGGATACGTTACGATACCATCAGTGGCCACTCATATTTAGCATGTGACCAAGATTTTGGATTGGTGGAGAAAAAGAAAAAGTTTTTCAAAAATATTTACTTACCAGATGACTGGATTACTGTAATCAAGGCAGCTAGGGACAAGAACCCATTCAATGTCATAAAAATGACAAAAGATGACTTTATTTCAACAAAAAAAAACTGGAGAATAACATTACCAATAGAAAGGTAACTGCTGAAAAATCAAAGGTGCAGTGGCTCAGAATACAGTGGCTTTTGTTTAACAAAATGCATCCATTAACAATTTTTTTAAATATTCTAATAGTGAAGATGTTTTATTTGAAAATGTTGATTTATAGAAAAGGGGCTCTACACATTTGACTGGTAATAAGCTGGATCCTTTATACCCTGATGGAAAACATATCAGTTCTGAAAAAAAAAAGGACTTATTAGATCGTTTGCGTTTTATGGCTGCCATACAAGATACGGTCCATCTGAAAGGTACACCTGTGCAGGTATGCCTGCGCAGGTAGACCGGTATGTGTGTGGGAATAGACCTGTGCAGTTTTTTGAGCCTACGCAGGCGACCGGCGCAAGATCGAAAATCAATTCTTTCGAGTGACACCGTACGGTGTACCTGTACGTGTGTGCGTGTACTCTGGTCGCCTGCGCAGGTCGCGTCAGTTGTTTTCTAGTGTTTCTTTCGGACGGTTGCCTCGTCGCTCGCATCGTATTGCCACGAATGCCACGTAATACAGCAATTGAAAATGGCGCCACCAAATTCAACTAAAAAAATTCTTGAAGATTTTATCGAAGTTTATAGAAGTCATCCATGTCTTTGGCAAATTAAAAACAAAGATTACCATAATCGAGACAAAAAAGAAGCTGCTCATAAATTACTCATAGAAAAATTGAGAGAAATTGAGCCAGGTGCGAACAAAGAAGTAAAGTCAGAATAAGTAGATTTTTATTTTTTACAAACCTTGTCTGCGTTGAGCTACAAATATTGCCAAAAAAATTATGTAAATTTGCCCACAAGTTACGGAGGAGATAGATTTCAGAGAATCGTTTTCTTGCGCCATGGGAGTTTCGCTCCGATTAAAGAAAAAAAATTATATAATATCTGAGCGTTGCCATTATAGTAATATTGTTGGTTTTTTCTGCAGCAGACAGTGCGGCGTCCGTTCTGGAGGCCAAAAAAATGCTACAACAAGAGCCAAAAATATGCGAAAATTGTTAAGCTATGAAAACCAGGTTGGATATTTGCCTCTTCCTTATTAGTTACTTTGTATTTTAATTATCAATCATAAGGAGTTCATTTCCCGCGTCACAGACTGTTGTGAAAAAGATCAATAATGGGGTTGGCCGGCGAAAGCTAAAAGCAGATGGCGCTAGCATAGTTTGTTCCCTTGTCATTGTTTTGTCATTTTTTTATGTTGTGTTGATTGCAGTGAAGCGTGTAAATTATTTACTTTGCGACTTGTGGCAGCTATAAGACAATTTAAATAAGTGGAGCACATATTTATACATCGTGTATTCTAACTGGCGAGTCAAGGAACTGAAAGACGAATTGAAAAAACGCGGTGCTTCCTTACGAGGAAAAAAAGCGGACCTCATTGAAAGGTATCTAGTTTTGCTCTGTTATTCATCAAACACCCCTTAATCGAAGTTTATAGTCGTTGCAGATCGAAGGGCGCTATGCAAAATAACATTCTTGAACATAAATGTAAATGTAAAGATTTCGTGGTAATTTCAGGTTAGAGTTTTATGACCAAAACTTTAATTTTGGTCGATCTGAATGCGTAGACGACGACGAACCTAAAATGGAGCTACCATCAAAAGAATCGTATCGAGATATAAACAGTCATACGATTCTGCCACCTTTGGACAAGATATTGATAAGGCATTATCTATGTTAGTAAGTAAAGATAAAAGTTAAATCTGTCAATAATAACATTTCTTCCATACTTTTATTTAACCATTACTTGGTACATAATTCCTTGTTTTTTAGCACAGAGAAAAAAATAGCAATGGCTACACAGCTATATGAGACACGGCACTTACCGATGGCAAGATCTTCAGTTGTTGGTCAAAATACTTTAAAGGTTACTGCAGAAAAACTATAAAGAATCTGCAGTATGAAGTAGATGTAAAATTAAATAAAAATGGAAATCCTGAAGCATCACATTGTGAATGCCCGGCTGGAAGTGGAATAAATGCAGTGTGCAAACATGTTTCAGTCCTTTTACTAGGCGTTGAGAACATCGTTAATCAAAAAATTCTTTTGCTTCAAGAAGTATGCACCCAAAAACTGCAGCAGTTCCATGTTCCAAGAAAACCTTACACAGGTAGTCCTGTGAAAGCAGAAAAAATGTATCGCAGGAAAAATAAACATAATTTAATTTTTGAGCCATACCCATTAAAAATATGGACAAAGAAAATTATAACAATAGGATAAGAAATATAATATTAAATTTTCCGAATTCCAGGATACCATTTAAACAACTTTATGAACCAGCAAACCCATATGCATTAGTACATGACCATCATTATATTGAAATAAGTCCAGAGCAGAAACTTTTAACACTGGTTCAAAAAGAAACCTCTGTCCTGGGAAGAACCCGCAAGAAACCCAGTGGGACCTTTTTTAAACATATTTCAATTTACATTTTCATACAATTTTTCAATGGACAATGGTGACAATCACCTCATTCCCATTTATGTATTATTTTAAGGGTTATTTTCATTTACGTATTTTTTTATATTATAATAGCTCTTTTTGTACAATTTTTACTTAATAAAACATTTAAACTTGTTTAATGACAAATTAGGACATTTTCGGGATTTTGTTGTAAAAGTGCCTTTTAACCTTTTGCCTTTTAACTGAATTACTAATTCTGTGGAGTCTAGTAACTGGTATGTTTGTTGCTAGTATTTAAGGTATGAACATCTTTATTCTTATAAAAGCTATTTATGTTTTATGTACATACATTACATTTTCATAAATATATTGCAATGTCAAAGTTGTAAAATATGTTTATTTATTTAAATTTTTGTCTAAGAAACTACAATTTAAGTTATAAATAGCCCCTACGGCTCTCTTTTGTAAAACAAATATGACTTCAATGTCAGTCGCATTACCCCATAGCAAGATTTCATAAGACAGTACCCTAAACCCCCCAACAAGCTTTTGGCTGACCTGAACTGCCTCCTGGCGGCTCATGTCGAGCCTACTTAACACATCTCGTAATCTGCCTTAGTTAGGCACACTTCTAAGCGGCTAATCGCCGCTTGCGCCTTCCTTTGTCCCAAAGAGGGTCGCATCCGTTTACGGCTTAAAGATCGCTCGTCAGATCGGTAAGCCAAACCCAAAAGGTGGTGTTTAGTGGGTAAAAGTCTCCACATAACTACGCAGCCGGCTGCATGGTATGTTATGAGCATTCACCACCTCCCTCCCCCGTTACCGGAGGGTAGCCCTTATTTGCTTCAGGCGCAAAAAAAATAGTACTCTAAGTAAACCTATGTACATAAATGATACATGCATAATGTATGATATTAAATTATTTTGTTTTATTTACTATACCATCTCTAAAATTACACAAAATACTACATATAATTTTTTTTTTGATGCTAAGGGAACTTAGAAATGATTAAGTTCATGCTTTAATATACCATAGGTTTTTATTAATCCTATAAGTCTTTCTATGTGGACTCTTTATCTAGCCAACTGTTGGTCTAATTTTAATTGTACACCAGGAATTTGAGACTTTCCTTTTAAAATGGTAGGAATATTTATCCCAATTCCCTTACAGAGAAACAAATCTTGCACGTTAAATCCCCTGTCTGCCATGATGTTATCCCCAGAATCACAAATATCAAATAACTTGCTGCGTTCTACAATTTGTCTGTCACTCACTGAACCGGCATATGCACTTGAACAATATGTTATGAGACCACCTGGTGAGGCACCAATTAAAAATTTTAGGGTATTCTTGTGTTTGTAAGTACTAAAAGTGGCTCTTTGGTCATTGGACTAGGCTTTTGTATTTCTATTTCAGTTCCATCTAGTATAAGCCTGGTTGATGGATAATATTTTTTAAAACTATCAGGCATATAAAAATTTACTAAATTGCGCTTAGGCCAAATGTCTATACAGCTCCAGATATCGCTAACAAAATTTATCCATGTCACTATAACATTTGACACTTCAGCTTTGCTTACACCAAACATTTTACCTAACTCAAAATCAGTTGTATTTCTTCTAAGCTTAATACCCTTTTTAAGGTGGTGGCAACTATGTTGCCATCATATTTTTAGGGTTCCGTACTCAACTAGGAACCCTTATAGTTTCGCAATGTCTGTCTGTCCGTCTGTCCGTCCTCGCTTAATCTCTGTAACCGTTAGTACTAGAAAGCTGAAATTTGGTACCAATATGTGTATCAATCACGCCGACAAAGTGGTAAAATAAAAATTGGAAAAAATGTTTTATTAGGGTAGCCCCCCTATATGTAAAGTGGGAAGTGATTTTTTTTTAATTTCAACCCTAACGTGTGATATATTGTTGGAAAGGTATTTAAAAATGAATAGGGGTTTACTAAAATCATTTTTTGATTACGTTAATAATTTCGGAAATAATCGCTCCAAAAGTAAAAAACAATGTGTCCCCCCCCCCCTCTAACTTTTGAACCATAAGTTTAGAAAATATGAAAAAAATCTGAAAAGTAAAACTTTACAAGGACTTTCTAGGAAAATCATTTGGAACTTGGATGGAAACAACAGTACCCACTACCGGGAGCAGTTGCAGGAGCGCGGAGCGCTGCTGGAGCGCGAACATAATGGATACCCACGTTTAAACTCATAAGTGGGAACACTTATTTTGACGGACGGGAAACTACGGAACCCTACATTGAGCGTGGCCCGACACGCTCTTGGCCGGTTTTTTCTCGTTTATCTCAGTAACATTAAAATTTTAGTCGATTTTATTTTGGCTGTATCAATCCCTATAAACCACAGACTCATGTCAAAGTGACATATACATTGTCAAACGTCAAAACTGTCATTTGAAGTCGACGTAAGATTCTAAGTGTGGCGGTTTTTGGTCGTATAATTAAATCTAGTTCGATCTCGAAATCGAAGTTTTGTACTGGTAAGTTTTTATTATTTTTTCAATATATTGTAGTAATAACAACATTATTTAGCTATATTTTTGAGGTTTGGGATGACTACTTGTAAAAAAAATCATTTCAATCAGTTTTTCAGGTGGCAATATAGTTGCCACTGCCTTGTGTGTGGTGCATGGGTTGGTGATAGAGTTGGATGTGCTTTTTTCTTTTACAGGTAATAATGTCGCGTTTTTGAACGACGACAGAATTGAAGAAGAATTACAGCTTTTATTTGGTCTTCCTGATGATCCAGAGGTTTCCGAAGACGAATATGAAACGGAACCAGAAACTGTTACTGATTTAGGTATCAGTAATATATTGAATGGTATTGATGACCCTATGCTTCGTTCTGAAGTCGATGCGCAGTGTCAGAATTATGACTCCGTTCCATTGAACAACCTGAATACTGAAGAGCCTTCGACAAGTTCAGCTGGAGATCAGCCATTACCATCCAGTCTTCACTTAGACAGTAATACTGAGTCTTCCTCTCCTATAGTACTACCGCTTCGCCACGACAGTGTCTTGATGTCTTCACCAACACCTCCAGTAGCTAATGCAGCCACAATGTCTGATACCGATGAGTCTGACACTGAAGAACAGGAATGGAAGAAGGTTCTTTATCCACAGCTTCCCGACATAGACTATTTTGATAGTATACATTTAGAGCACACAAATTTTATTCCAAGTAGGACCAGACCTGTTACTTATTTCACACATTTTTTTGATACCGATGTAATTGATCTCCTTGTAGAACAAACCAATATTTACGCAGAACAGAGTCGCAGCCATGGCTGGTCACCGGTTGACATCCCTGAAATGAAGGCTTTTCTAGGAACGATAATTTTGATGGGGCTCCATCCGCTACCAACAATTGATTTATATAGGTCAAGTGACCCATTTTTTCGTATTGCTGGGATAGCATCGGTAATGACGTGCAAAAGATTCAAGAAAGTTTTGGAAAACCTACATTTGAACGACAACTCTAAGATGCCTCCGAGAGAAGCGCTTCAGTTCGACAAATTATATAAAGTTCGTTCGATTCTCGAGCTGCTCAACACGGCCTGCCAACGTTCTGCAAAAACTACAACATCTCAATCAATAGATGAGTCGATGATTCAGTTCAAAGGTATCTCATCACTCAAACAATATATGCCACTAAAACCGGTGAAAAGAGGCTACAAAGTGTGGATTAGAGCTGACAGCGAGACAGGCTATGTTTTCAAATTCCAAATTTATACAGGGAAACGGGACGATCAAATTCGGGAAACCGATACCGAATCCCGATACTTTTTCGCATCGTATGACATACTACAATATTTATACAATAATGGTATATATGCCACAGCAACAGTCAATAGTAACAGAGCAGATCTACCTCTCGTTGTAAAACATGCCAAAAAGAAGAATATACCAAGGAGCCAAAAAATAAACTTAGCAAGAGGCGAATTACGATGGCGCACTAAAAACAACGTGGCGTTTGTAATGTAGCAGGACACTAAACTCGTCACACTTTTGACCACTGCCTTCCACCCAAAAGTAAATAAGACTTTTTGCGATCGAACACAGAAAGATGGTTTGAAACGGGCTTTTCTGTGTCCATCAACTGTACTTCAATACACAGAGCGCATGGGCGGTGTAGACCGTTTTGACCAGAAGCGGACCACCTACGAAGTTGGCAGACGAAGCAAGAGGTGGTGGCTTCGTATTTTCTATTTTTGCGTAGATTTAGCCATCACAAACTCCTTTTTACTATATTCTAGCAACACAAGAGTACACAACCCACTTTCACAATTACACTTTCGGTTGTGCCTGGCTCGTGGTCTCATCAGCAATTATTCATCAAGGAAAAGAAGTCTGGACAGACAGCCACAATACTCCGCAAAACGGCCAAAGCTCTCCACAAACAGACAAAAAGAAGTAGGAGTGGTTGATGAGATACGTTTGAGTAACGTGGGTTATTCATCAGCATGAGCAACTGAACTTCTGGCGACGCTGTCGTATGTGTAGCACGAAAACTCGCAATAAGCGATCAAAGATTCAGTGTTTTACAAGTAAAGTGCCACTTTGTGTAATTCCCTGTTTTGATTTATTTCACAGCCAGCAAGTATAAATATAATATGCGTTTGATGGAAATCAAAACAGGAAATAACAGATGAATCAACATTTTTATTTGCTATGTTTTTGTTTCTTTTTAATAAACTGAGTACAAAAAAAGTCGTTTTATTGACAGGCGGTGGCAACTATATTGCCACCGCGTTTTCCATAAATTTCCCATAAATTTTCATAACTTTTTTTATCGTTAGGGTCATCCTAATGGTAATACTATTCACTATCCATTTGATATACATTGCTGTCATCTTTATTTTTCTCTACCTTATAAAGGGTTAATAGCATTAGAAACTGATCATCTACCGTCAAGGAAACAACTCTACTCCAACGGTACTTAATATCATGTGCCATAGGCATAAGGGTACTGATAATTAAATAAAATTTTTCTAATGTGTCCAACCCAGTATAAAAATGCACTGTCGCGTCGTCTGCAAGTAATAGCTCTCTAGAGAACAAACTTAATATATTAGATGTTTGTGTACTACAAGTGTTGTGGTTTGGCATAACAGATGCAGGTATTGGAGAACTATGTTCAACCAGAAGCTCTTGAGATACACTGCAGTCTTGAGGCACACCAATATCTCCTTCAAGTGGCAATATATCATCTTCACAATGTTGTGTACTTGAAGGTATATCAAAAAGCTGTCATTTCATGAGGTTGCGATGTACCAATCATTCTTTTCTAGCCTTCGCGTTCTCAGAAATTGGTTGCGTATTCCAAGGAAAAACAGATGGTATAGCTTCATTCTTCAAGAATTTATGTAGGTGTTTAACTCCTAGAACAAGACGTGATTTTTAACATTGCAAATTACATAGGCAGATATATGGCCAGATACGAAAATTATTATGGAGTGTAGGGATGATTGAAAAGATAATAGTCAAAATTTTACATTATGATCAGCTTACCTGTGTATTTGTTTGTTATTTCATAATCAATTTCAACATAACCTCGTACTTTTCGTAGGAATCAATTTTTCACGACGAATGGCTTTCAACTAAAGCCTTCGTATTTTTTTTATCCTTCGGTATTTGGTGGGTTCCGACTTCAGAGCATTTAGAGACAATACAGCGTGTCATCGTAACTGTTAGAAATTATTTTCTGAATTCGACCATAGAAAAATTCAATGTTTTGGGAACAACCTACGGTAGCGCCACTTTGACATTTGCCAACCCCAATTAAGAAGCAATGTTAGGAAGGAAAAGAAGAAATATGACCAATCTTTAAAGTCTGGGGCAACTGCTGATGATGTGTGTACCGTATAAAACTGTGGTACTACGATTTGTTCAATTTCGTTCATGATCAATGCACTCCAAGGGAATCTTCATCCAACTTAGATAGTGATGACGAAAATAGTTGTGAGGTAAGTAAAATATTTTATACTTCGTAGTATAATTTTTATTAACCCTTTAATGCATAGTGATGTAGATATACATTCTTTGTTTTGGCAACATTTTCTCTTTTATGTTAAAAACTACCAAAATATTTCCAACACTTTTATACACTAGCAACATTATTAGTTGACTTCTGAACGAATCATAAAAGTTTTGACATTTTTTTTATTGTCATTTGTTTTTCACTGTTCCCGCCTTTTGCATCACTTGGTTTTCGCAAGTTTTTGGAATTCGTGTTTTGAGAATAAATATATAAGAAATTATACAAAAAATTGAAAAAAAGGGCTCGAAATAATAGATTTTCTCACAAAAGAAGGGAACTTGAAAACAAAAGGAAAAAAAGTCGGACGGAAGACAGGACGCGAAGCAAGGCATTACGATTACGCGACTGCTCGATATCCACTTGAGCTATTACGATCATTAACACAGTGTCAAAATTTACCTTCTTATATTGTAGCAATTTTGTCATTGCCTGAAAATACGGACAAAAAGACATTTTATAAAAATAAATCCTAGCTAGATCGATTTATTGTCCCCGAAACTCGGTGGACACTAAATTTTATGAAAATCGTTGGAGCCGTTTCCGAGATTCCGATTATACAATCTGTCCGGTTACCGGTGTCGGAGCTTTTAATGCTATAAAATATAATCAATTTCATCGACAAATCATGTCTCAAATCTCATTTAGACCCAGCTGTATTAAAATGGCAGCCATTTAAATTTTTCAGTTTCACCACCTCGTCCCCGCGCATTAAGATTACAATATTCCCTGATGTAGAAGCCCTACATTCTTAAAAGATGTCTCATTGGATAGATAAAGATACGCGTAATAAAATAAAAGCAAACTTTTAACTGCAAAATTGTATTTAGATCCTAAAAAGACTTAGAAAAGAAAAAAATGTAAAAAAAATCGTTTATTTTTTTCATAATTTCGACTTTAATAGTAGTCATTTACCTAATGATTTTTTACATTAATCAGATAGATCAGAACATATCCTAACCAAAAACATAAAAATCTTAATTGTAAATTAAATAGTTTAAGAATTGTACTTTATCAAACACGACCTCTTAAAAGCGCAAGCTGCACGTGCAGGATCATTTATGCTAGTTCAAAAGCAGGTAGAAAAACCCAAAGCCCATTGTTTGATGTTCTAAACAAGTGTACTTGGGACAAAAAAAAACAGTCGTCCCTCGCCACGCGCTGTGATTACACTACTTTTGCCCCTCTAAGATCGCTTGTTGTTGTTATTGATAAAAAAATCCGTTTTGTTGAACTTTTTAACTTTGTGGTGAAGTTTCTAGTTATTTTGATATTTTCAAAAATGGCAGATGGTAAATACTCAAACCAACATGTCGCTGATATCCATTTTGTGTATGGATTGTGCAACGGCAATGCAAACAGAGCTGTCACAGAGTACGCCAGAATGTTTCCCAACAGGCCTACACCAAATGCTCGCACTTTTGTAAGGATACATTTGCGGATAGCTGAACTTGGGATCAGAAGACCCGCTAATGAAAGATTTCAGCTTGTGGCACCTGAGGAAGAAGAGATATTACGTTTAACTACACAAGATCCCAGACTCGGTGTAAGACGAATAAGCAATATGCTTAATTCAACAAAATGGTCAGTCAGCAGGTCAAAACTCTCCACAGTTTTAAAGAGGGAAGGTTTGCATCCTTACCATTTTAGGCGGGTACAAGACATTCGCGAACCTGATTATGCTATAAGGGCAAATTTTTGTTCGTGGATCAATAGAAGAACAAAACAAGATGCAGATTTTTTAAAAAGAATTTTGTGGACTGACGAAGCCACTTCTCTTCACAGCATCTGTGGCTTCAAAACAACCCTCATGCTGTTAGAGAAAGTACTTTCCAACATGAAATTCGAGTGAAAGTTTGGGCTGGAATAAAAGACGATATTTTAATTGGGCCGATAATTTTACCAGAAACTATGAATGGCCCAAGATTTTTAGAGTTTTTGCAAACACAGTTTTTGGAAGAATTAATGGAGCTTCCATTATAACTCACAGATCAAGGATGATTCTCCAACTTGACGGTGCACCTGCACATTTTGCAGTAAGTGTACGAAATTATTTAAATGAGCGCTATTCGCCGTGGATTGGTCGCGGTGGAAGGATCGCTTGGCCTCCGCGTTCACCGGATTTAACTCCCTTAGACTTTTTTCTATGGGGCACTATGAAGCAGAGTTTATGCGAACGTGCCAAACTCACGACAAGAGTTGATTAATAAAATAATCGAAGTTGGAAATGAATTGCGACAAGATCGGGAGATGATCAGACGTGCAACTCAACATGTGGCAATGAGGGCTACAACATGTCTCCAACATCGCGGAGGTCATTTCGAACAGTTTTTATAAATAACTTTTTAGTTACGTGCATTTTGAAATGTTGTGTTTTACTCTTCTCATCTATTCACTTTGTCTGTCTGCAACCAGGGCGACAAATTTTTCAAAGGTCATATTCAAACAGTTATACTGATTTTTTTTTGGTTACAATTAAGATTTTTGTGTTTTGGTTAGGATATGTTCTGATCTATCTGATTAACCCTTAATTTGATTTTGTACGGTGTGACGAACATTAACTTATAAAAAACCCGCCGAATATTTTTTCTATGACGCAAATTATTATTTTTATATTTAATTTTACAAACTATTAGTAGAAAAAAATATATGAATGTGGCAACACCGTAACTGTCATTCGTGACACAACATGTCGACGAAAAGGCGGCCCTCCGTTTTTCTCAAGGTATTTAATGTTGTTTTTTATTGTTTTAACCAATTTTTTCAACATGTTTTTGTTTTTGTGTTAGCATATATGTTTATAAAAGGGATAAGCTACAAATACTGACAATCTATGGTTATTTTGTTTGTTTTATGGGTCCGAAAACTCGTTGTCCGTCACACCGAACATTGACAAATGCATAGAGATATTGTATTTTGTTTCTATGTTCGCTGAGACGAACATTGCCAAATTACTAACGCTGTTTGTTTGGTTTATATTTTGCGTTTTTTTGCTTACTTTGGTTCACTTTTGCTTGTCAACAGAGTACTCGTGCTAGTAAAATATTGGCTTTGGTTCCACGAGAGCATGCCCCTTCCGATGCTAGTGAGAATTCAAATTCTGAACCTGAAAATGTTTATGTAAGGCCTCAGATTGATTTTGACTCTAACACCTCTCCTGCACATTCTCATCATGAGTTTGACTGTGAATCCTCTTCTGCACCATCCACCCCTGCATCTTCGCTTGAAAATCTTAACCTCGATTCCTCATTTGATGACAACCCTGTTGATACCCAATATGAACCAGAAGAAGAAGCATTATTAGATACAGTTCCATTAACACCAATCCTGCAAGAAATACGAGAATCTAACTACGAGAATATTCCATCTAACATTCCCTCGCTTCCATCTAACATTCCTTCTGTATCTTCAATACCAGCCACATCTATTACTCCACGATTATCTAGAAAAACAAGATCAAAACAACCAACTGCATCAGCTGCAAAAAGGGTAAAACGAATAAAGAAGAAAGTGCAATTGACGTATACTTGGAAAAAAGCGCAATTTCGCCATAGAGCGACGATTGAAGAAGAAGATATGGATTATGTTGACATGCCTGAACCCAGTGCTGCACCTTTGTCATACTTTGAATTATTTTTTTCAAAGGACATAATGAGTGATATTGTTGACCAAACAAATTTCTACTCTGTTCAAGAAACCGGTAAGTCAATTCAACTGACTGAAGATGAGTTTCGCGATTTTTTAGCCATTCATGTTATAATGGGTATTGTTGGCATGCTTTCATATCTTGATTACTGGTCAGAAAAATACAGATATGACAAAGTGGCCGATATAACGTCTTTAAAAAGATACCAGCAGATCCGACGCTATTTACATTTTGCGGACAATAACCTCGAGGATGGGGATAGATATTATAAGATACGACCAGTATTTGAGAAAATTAGACAAAATTGTTTGAAAGAACATAATGAAAGAAAGTTTAGCATTGACGAGATGATGATAGCTTATAAAGGTTCAAAGGCTGGGAAAAGAAAGCAGTATATGAAGGACAAACCTAATAAATGGAGGTTTAAAAATTATGTCAGAGGTGGTGTATCGGGAATTATTTACGACTTCGTTATATACGCGGGAGACGATACTTTCCGATACCACACGTTTTCTGAAGAGGAATTGTCCCTTGGTTTTGGTGCTCAAGTAGTAATTGCCGTATGCCAAACGATCAACCAAAAGCCAGCAATCATCTTTTGCGATATTTTTTTCTTATCACCGGAACTGTTTTATTTTTTGCGGGAAAACTACGGTATTTTTGGTTTATTACTATTCGAAACAATCGTCTACGAGGAGCTGAACAAAAAATGCTAACTGAAAAAGAGATGAAAAAAAAACCTAGAGGAACTTACGCAGAGGTTGTTGCGAGTCGTTTGGCTGTAGTTCGGTGGAACGATAACAAGGCTGTAACTTTGATAAGTTCCTATGCTGCAAGTGAGCCAGTGGGAAAGATTTTAAGATATAGCAAAGAAGAGAAGAAGAAAGTGGAAGTACCGTGTCCGCAAGTTGTACGAGAGCACAACCAGCATATGAAAGGTGTAGATTTCGCCGATATGCTCATATCACTCTTTAAAACACCATTCAAAAGTAGGAGGTGGTATTTGGGAATTTTCGCACAATTGTTAGATATATGTATCAACAATGCCTGGTTGATGTGCAGAAAAAGGAACGCATGAATTTCACGACGCAAAATGCCTTTGGAAACTTTCAGATGCCAAATTTATGAAAGTTTAATAGGAGAGATGCGCTGTAAAAACCGGAAGCAACAGCCAGTTCTAAGATAAAAAAAAGCTTCGTGTAGCCCTTCCATCAAGTCCGATAAAATACGACAATTTTGGCCACTTTCCATCAGTCATGGAAGAAGGTAGATGCCGGTACTGCCAGAAAAAAACCGTGGTGTATTGCACAAAACGCAATACTAGATTATGCTTTGTCACAGGCAAGAATGCCCGCAATTGTTTTTTAAACTTTCATACAAAATAATTAGCTTGTAAGTTCTTTGTGTATTATTTTTCTTTTGGAGTATTAAAAATTTTTATTTAAGTTTTATCTTCCATAATTGGGCAATGTCTGTCACATCGGACATACATAATTTTTAGTCGATTACTACATATTTCTCAATATCCGTCGTGCCGAACATTAATTTTCTCAAAAATTAGCACAGCTAAATTTTTTTATTAATTATATAGGACGTCTAATACACTAATCAACTTATAATAACAATTAAATTACTTAATTTTAATCTTTTTGCTATCTGCCAAATTAAGTGTTCATGTAAAAAATCATTAGGTTACTTAGTTACTTAGGTTACTTAGTAGACTTACTTTTTTCATTAAAGTCGAAAATGTGAAAAAATAACCGATTTTTTTACATTTTTTTTTCTTTTCTAAGTCTTTTTAGGATCTAAATACAATTTTGCAGTTAAAAGTTCTCTTTTATTTTATTACGTATCTTTATCCATCCAATGAGACTTTAAGAATGTAGGACTTCTACATCGGTGAATATTGTAATTTTAATGCGCAGGGTCGAGGTGGTGACACTAAAAAATTTAAATGGCTGCCATTTAAATACAGCTAGGTCTAAATGAGATTTGAGACATGATTTGTCGATGAAATTGATTATATTATATAGCATTAAAAGCTCCGACACCGGTAACTGGACACACTGTATATATCGCACTGCTAGATTAACGGCATCAACTCAAAAATCGCGCCTTTTGAGATAACCCAATTTTCAAGTCCCTGATTCGATTATCTATACGGCTAAAAAACTGTAGTAACTGTATTTTCACTCACGCCTCGTACATGTCGCTAGAAGTCGGTTTTCGTGAATGGCGCCGCCCCATGCGCCACCAACTAAACCGTGGCATTGGCAGTTGCGCCGTGACTAGTAAGCAAAGAGCACGTTTCTAAAGTATAATATTTTGAGTTAATGCAGTTTTTGTGATTAGATTTGAAAAAAATCACGTATTAATTAGAGTTGTTGCAGTTTTAATGGTGTCGTTGATGGTGATCGGGAGTTGTCGGGAGAGCTTTTTTGAGTTATTTTGTGTTATGACAGTTTTGATAGTCAAGGTTAGTAATATTTTTGAATAAATTTGTTTTACTACAGTTTTAACGCCACTTTTTTTAAATTTCGATTTGTATCGGTTTTAATGGTGGATTATTAAAACATACACTTAATTTCTTGATATAAATACTTGTTTACTATTAACACATGATGCAAATTGATAACTTTATATTTATTGTTAGTTATTTTACAAAAATTATAAGTTATGCCGTTAGTAGAACGTTTTTTTTAGTTAATTCACTTTTGATGATCTGATGGAATTATAATTTTTATTTCAGTAAGATGAACGTGACGTTTATTTGTGGATATGGCAGTACGTAGCAACAAGGAAAACCTACCTGCTGACATGGAATCTCATAATGATCAAATCAAACAAAATAGTCCACCAAATGAAACGGTTAAAGACAATTTACTCAATTCTATATCAGGCAGTTCAGATACTACAGTTCAGTCTTCTATGCCTGAAGACATAACTTCTTCAATCTATATAAAATCAGCAATCCCATCGATGTGGCTATCCCAAGTACTTCCAAATCTGCTGAAATTAAACAAAAAGAAATAAATTATTACATTTCGCCCATACACAGTGACCAGAGTGACATCGATGATTCCGATGCTGATCCACATTTTAATATATTATCTCCAAATAAAACGACTTTACCGAACAAGTCCGATTCTTCTTCTTCTTCCAGTAGCAGCAGTAGTTCATCTTCTTCTAGCTCCGATAGTTCATCTGAGGCGGACCAAAATAATGATATTGTATCTGAAGAAATAAGAGGCAAGAAAAGAACAAGGAAACCCGAAAATGGAAAGTAAATGTCGCAAAAAAAACCGAGAAATTCTGGTAAGCCTTATGTGTCCATGTCGAAACTAAAGAAACAAGTGTCAGGGAAAGAAGTCCGCCCATCTTGTGGAGAAAACTGTCGCCTTAAATGCAGTTCAAAAATAAATGATGCTACAAGACAAATGCTATTTAATAATTATTGGGGTTCTGAAAATTTGCAGGCACAAAGAGAATTTATTTTAAGGCAGACACAAGAGATTAAACCTAAGTATAGATACTCAAATACGCAAAACTTTCGTGCTCTTAATACAGCGTTCTACTTTGATTTAGAAGGCTCGCGTATTCGAGTATGTAAAAAAAATTTTAAAGCCACACTAGATTTAAATGACAGACCAATAAAAACAGCGTTATCAAAAAATCTGACTCTGGCTTTGTAGGAGAATTGAGGGGTAAGCATGGTGAGCATCCAACAATTGATTCCGACATTAGAGAAAATGTGAAAAATTTTATCAACAGTATACCACGTATTGAATCGCATTAGCTTCGAGCGCAAACTTCACGTGAATACATACAAAGTGATAAATGTCTAGCCGATTTGTATAGAGACTATAAAGAAATTCGTCAAAGAGACAATTTACCAATTGCTATACCGTCAACATTTAATCGGATCTTTAATACAGAGTTCAATATCTCATTCTCCACACAGAAAAAGGATCTTTGCGATCTATGTGGAAGCTACATTAAGTCAGATGAAAATGGCAAGCAGAAACTACAAGAAAACTATGAACAACATCTTAAAGAAAAAGAATTAGCAAGGATAGAAAAGGACAATGATAAAAAAAGAACTGATGTTAAAGTAGCTGTATATGATCTGCAAACAGTAATGCAAGTGCCTAAAGGACAGGTATCCTTACTTTTTTTATAAATCTAGGATAAACTGTTTTAATTTCACGGTCAGTGATTTAAAAGCAAAAAATGTAATTTGTTATTTCTGGGATGAGACAGAGGGAAAACGAGGTTCTACAGAAATTGGAAGCTGTGTTATTAACTACATCGAAACACTGATAGCTGAAAATGCAGGAAAAGATTTAAATGTTATATTCTATTCTGATAATTGCTGTGGCCAGCAACATCCTAAAGCAAAAACAGCTGACACTTGTGGGTACCCTTAAAAAAATAAAAGGGAAGTACCTCCTCAATTTCTGCTTAGCCGTCATCGGGACGTTGGCTTTTCGATTTTTGGATTCACGTTAGATGCAACATTGCTATCTTTTGTACCAAAGCAAAACAAATCCGTGCTTGTTCTTTACAGCATGCATCACTCACCAACCACCGATCCACAAAAGCAAAAGCCAGAAATGATTATTTTTTATAATAGCACCAAAGTTGGCGTCGATACATTAGATCAAAAATGTGCCATTTACTCAACTTCTTGACGCACACAGCGCTGGCCAATGGTGGTCTTCTACAGAATGCTGGATGTTTCTGCAGCAAATGCGTACATCATCAGCAGCATGAACCAATCTCAGAGAAAGGTGCCCAGACTGAATTTCATGAAACAACTGGCTGAAGACCTTATTACACCCCATTTACGACGTCGAGCGAACCAGTTTGGATTGCAAAGGGAACTTCAGAAAGCTATTCGCCGGGTTCTCAAAATAGATGAAGACAAATTAGAAACACGCAAAACTTTTTCAACGTGTGACCCAAGGAAGAAACGTAAAACATTCCATTTGTGTTTTCAGTGCAAAAATCCAATTTGCGTTGAATGTTCTCAAAAAATGTGTGTACGCTGCCGCGAGAAATTGTGAAATGTGTTGTAATTTTGTAACGATTGTGATTTAATTGTGCCAATGATAGTTTTATATAAGAGGTTATATATTTAAGTTACTAAAATATTTAAAAACTAAGAAGTCTCATTAATTGTTATTGCTTAGAACTCAGCTTAATCGGAAAACCTATAATTTATTAAAATATTCGTTAGTTAATTTTTATTAATAGTAATAAGAAGCAAGAAGTATTAATTTGAAGAGTTTATTGAAACAAATTGAAATAAAAACAACTGAATTTTTATTTTTGTAGTTCCGATTTTTGCCAATTTATGATGTTTTTACCTTTATAATAGTACTTATATGCAAGCGGTCACCATGACCGACGTTAGGTGGAAGTGTTACTAGAATACACGTTAGGTGGCTAAGGGTTAAAAACATCTTATCTTATATAATCATTTTGTAGAAATCCAATATCTTAAGTTACAAGATATCGGTTTTTCTTTAATTAAGCTTTTCTTTCAATATACGACGAACACTACGGTCGCTCACGTTTAGATCCTGCGCGAGCTGATTTGCTGAGCGTGCTGGATTTCTGTCCAGTCGGTAACGTACCTTTTCGACGACTGCTGGTGCCGTTGCAGTACAACGCCGTCCTATAGCGTTTCTTAATGCTAACCAGTCTCAAAATATCGTTTGATAGTGCGATGTACAAATTTCTCATTTAGTTTAAGATTTGGCAGCGCTCGACGAATTTCGATGTACGATTTTCCTTCCAAATACAGAGCAATCACTGAATTACGTTTTAAATTCATCGTTTTAAATTAAGAATGTTTTATCTCACAACAAAATCACATCAAACCATGAAAGAAAATATCTCAAAGAACAACATTTTAAATTTTGGCGGCGTTCGATTCAGTGGTTCGAATTTTAAAACAGATCGAGACGGACAGATCAATTGCCGGACCCGGTATATATATGTATATATATATATATATATATATATATATATATATATATGTATATATATATATATATATATATATGAATTGCTCGTTTAAAAGTATAGGATTCAAAGAAGGAATTTATGCCGCTTTTACTGGAGGACAGAACATTGAGGCAGAGCACTAGACAGTGCAGTACCGCTACTTTTTGAACGCTCACGTCGAGACAGAACAGTACTGTCTTGACAGTAACCAAGCAGAATCGTTACCAGCTCGCCGGTCTATACTTTCGGGGCAATTTTCGACCTCCACCACCTTTCCCTCTCATCTGTCTTGTGGCTGGACTCGTGTGTACGCGAGGGCAATGCAGGACAGTTTACGCGCTTCCCGACTTGTATTACATGTGACGTGTGGTCTGTTTACACAAAATTTGTTTGTCTTAATATTAAAATAGCACCTCCTAAATTATCAATGGATATGACTATAAAACTCATAGACTTTACATACAAACAGAAATATTTAATACGATTGGTGACAATGGACGAAACATGGATCGACGCCTGAATCCAATCGGCAGTCGGCGGACTGGTTATTGTCTGATGAAAGCCGTAAGAAGCGTCCGAAGGACGCCACAATCAGACAGCAAGGTTTTAGACAGTATTTTTTAGGATGTACATAGTGACAAACAATATTACTCTGCATTATTGGATCGATAAGACAATTAAATCAAGTGTAAACACAACCTCATTTAATAAGAAAATAAATCTAGTTTCACCAAGGCAACGCTCCCGTTCATTCTGCTAAATTGAAGGAATTACGACGTTACGAAGTAGTTAAACACCAACCGTATTCGGCTGTTTTAGTACCCAACAACTATTTCCCGTATTCACGGTTGGAAATTAGCTCATCGGGAAGAGGTTTTATTCAAATGAACTAAAGTATGAAACAAATGCCTATTTTGAGGGACTTGACGCGTACCACTAAAAAAGGCATCGAAATGGTAGAAGAACATTACACTTAGTGTATTACTCCAGATGAAGATTCTCGAGGAATAAAATCGTTTTTGCACTAAAAATATCGTTTTTTCATTGCCAGACCAGACTTTGTAGCCCAGCACACTGAATCAACCTCTTCAGGTAGAAAAATGATACAATTTTTGCAACCTCAAGAGTACGTTTCAGTGTCGATAGTTGTTTATCCTCTTTCTGTTCTAGTACATTAGTAGCTTGAGCGGGTATAATTAAGCAAAAGTTCAGACATACCTCGTAATAGTCCAATAGACTACGTATCGAATCTTGGACGCTTACGATGAGATAAACTTATATGTACATTTGCAAATGAGTATGACACAATATCATACAAAACATTTTATTAAACGGAAGTCTTTAATATTGCCGATATAGTTAACTCTGCTTTACGCATATTTAACATATACTCACAAAACAATAATAAGAAACACGATTGCCTTTTACGTTTGTAAACTATAAGCTAGTGATGATGTAAGTAAGGTTTAATCATGGTTAATTATATCTTGCCATATCATGAATTTCCAGCCGGAGGCTTTAATTCGTATACCCTGTCCATGAAGCGTTTCAAAACTAGACACTATTCGATTTTCGCTAAATACTCCCAAGCATTTATAATATATAATTTAAAAATCATATTCAACTATTAATTTTTCTGTCAGCAGTACATCTTTGTAATGATAAATCTGATCTGCATCAATGCGAGATTTCTTTTGTAGGTAATCACAGTGTTTCTTCACCACTGGTGAGCTGCTATTTCCAGTTTTGCGTCCTTGATAGCGGGTTTGAGAGCAGACCACCCTAAAAATAGAAATATCTGTTGTTAGTTGATAGTTATGAAGCTTAAGAAGTCACAAGGAATTTGTATATGTGGTAGAGACACGCTGTGGCTATATTATGGTGGTAAGCACAAAAGGGTCGGCTAGACCGGGGAAGGACCACGCTCTCACAGACTACCATTAGAACATAGCAGCTTGATGATGCTGTGTTTCGTACGGTGAGTGTGGAGAACTAGAAACCCGTTTTACTGGAATTGAGGCATTCCATCTTAGTCCTATGGGGTGATAACGCATCTGCTTTTGATTCTTAATCGAGGTTAAATGTAGATAACTATAGAACACAAGATCCACCTGCCATCAGGTGGACAGTGTGCTCGTTTGTCATCCTAATTCTAAAAAAAAACCACAAACGTCCTTAGAAACAAAGGGCGTCCTTAGAAGCATTGTAGACATGAAATTATGATCATACTGATAGGTTGACTTATGGATCATGGTGATATAATTTATTTAATAATGATTATATGTATTCAAAAAAAATTCCCAGTGATTTCTATACATGAATAGGCTAGTCGGGAATTTAGGAATTTCGGACCTGTCGAGTGCTGGTAATGTACCGCTGCTTCATGTACATAACACATCCTTAGGGTGTGAGTAGTTTTTTTATAATTATGTCACCGATTGCAAGTCTTTATACAAACAACTTTGAGTTTAAATTTTCAAGCAGTTTGCACTATGGTCGTATACCAACTTGTCACATACCCAACAGAAATGGGAACACAAAAACAAAGTGATAAACGCTATTATCAAATCCTTTGACAGCATGGCAAATTCCAGTCTTTCCTGAAATAATACTGGACTGTTACTCAACATTAAAGAGAATAAAGAGATTATCAATTTCGTATTTTGCACACAGTCATCATCGTAAGTTGGAAACACTATTCTTATGTTTTAAGCAAAGCTAAATAATGTTTTCATTTTGTAAAAGTAAGGGATGTAAATTTCGATTAATATATACTAAATAATCTTTCTCTATTTTATCTTTTCAGTGGGAATTTGACACCTTGTTGCTCCATCGAAAAAATAGTAAGTAAGACAGCTGAAAACTCACAAAGGAACTTGTGACATGATCAAAACCAACAAACAGAGATTTTGACATGGTAGAGCCATGCTGCAGCTATATTAGTAGTATAGTTGTAGAGCGAATGGGTCGGCTCGACTGGGGAAGGATCACGTTCTCACAGAATACCAGTCTAAAATAGCAGCTCAACAATGCTGTGTTTCATATAGTAAGTGCAGCGAATACCCATTATACTGTAAACGAGGCATTCCATCTTGGCCCACGTGTCCTTCCACGACGGCGAAAACAGCATTGCAAGAGCAAAAGCCCAAACCCACCAGTCACAGTGAGGTTGAAGGTCTTGCTTGTAGAAGAAAAATTCGTGACCATGATTCCGGCGTATTGTATGGCACATGGTGTGAAGAAATAATTAATGCAAGTTAAACCAAGCGCTGTAGAAGACTGACATTTTTTATAGACATAATGAAGCAGTCAGAGACAAACTAATAACATACAATCTACAATCACTATAAGGTATTAGTTTAATTTAGTTTAGTTTGCGACGGGCTGTTTTCCGCAACTCCACGTCTATGCGCGTATTTTGCGTGTGGGCAGGAATAATGTGATTATTCGAGCCATGAGATCTCCCTGAAGAAGCTCAACAGTCCCTTGATGTTGCATGCAACTTCGGGGAGTGATCCCGGCGTGCCGAGATGTTTAGCCCTGTACGTAGCGACCTTCGGACATTTCAGTAGCACGTGGGCCGCCGTTTCTTCCTCCCCCATACATGCCCTGCACATTGGACTATCTGTAACACCTATAGTAAATAAATGTTTGTTAAAGGTGCCGTGTCCTGTGATAGCACTTGTTACTATCCTGATCTGCGGCTTAAATTAACTTTGGTTAAGCGACTGTTTATTACAGGTAGGGCCTCCCTAGCTTGTCTACAGTCTACTAGATTTTTCCAAAGCTGAGCATGTTGATTAGTGAAGTGTCTACGTACCATTGAACGAACGTTACCAAAGGGGATTGGTATGATTGGTTCCGGCCCTATAGTGGCCAGAGCCGATCCTCTTCTGGCCAGTTCGTCCGCTGCATCGTTGCCTCTGGATCCACTGTGTCCCTTTATCCATTGCAGTCACATTGTTGTTTTTACATACCTCATTTAATCGTTGATGGCATTCATATATTAGTCCCGAGTTCACCCCATTGCAACTCAGAGCTTGTAGTACCGCCCTACTGTCGGTCAGTATTTTGATGGGGAAGTCATTAACCTTCCTAGCATCTATTGCTATGGCCGCTTGAATGATACCCATACATTCCGCCTGAAAGACCGTGTTATAGGTACCCAGCGGTGTGCATATGTGAATATTGAGGTCTTCAGAGAAAGCTCCAGAATCTACACCTTCATTTGTTTTAGAACCATCGGTGAAAATTCTAAGCTCTTTTGGGCTTAATCCTTCCGGCTGGCTGTTTTCATTTAATTGTATCTTGTATTTCTTATCGAAAACGAATTGTTTAGGAATCCTATCGTATTTGGCTTGTAGGATAGGAATTTCTGAGTGAATTCTATCAATTATGCCTGTATGAGGGACACTATTCTTACTCCAAAGATTTAGGGTCTTGAGTCTGATGGCAGCTAAAGTCGCTTCTTGTTGTATATGTAGATGAAGCGGAGTTAGCTCCAGCATCGCTTCCAAGGCTGCTGTTGGCGTAGTTCTTATGCAGCCTGTGGCAGCCATACATGCCAGTCTCTGGTAGCGCTGAAGCTTCTTAATTGTGGTGGCTTCATTTGTCTTGGTCCACCATACCAGAGCGCCGTATGTGATCATGGGCCGAATTACAGTTTTGTAAAGCCACAGTATGATTTTTGGCGTCAGTCCCCATCTTTTGCCAATCATGTTTCTGCATTGCCAGAAAGTTATACTAGCTTTGTTGATTTTGTTTTCTATGTGTTTATTCCAGTTAAGTTTGCTGTCCAAGGTAAGACCTAAATATTTTACCTCAGAGGATAGCTGGAGTTTTGTGCTGAAAAGACTTGGAAGATGATAGTTATTCAGCATTCGTTTTTGTGTGAACATTACTAAAACCGTTTTATTTGGGTTGACGGTTAATTCGTATTCCCTGCACCATCTCTCCACTATACGGAGAGCCGCTTGGGTCAGGTCGCACACTATGCTTGCTGTCTTTCCCGAGACCAGTATTGTCAGGTCATCAGCATATCCTACTGTATAGAAGTGATTAGTATTTAATTTGCACACTATAAGGCATTCAAAAATTTTATTTAATTTCTGCTTCGTCAATTTTTCTTTCAATTTAGTAACTTCATATGTGCTCTATGTCAACCTGTTTGCCAAGGGTGGCAATTATGACAAAATCCCCCCACGAAGCAATCTACGGAGGCTTATACTCAACAGCGGACTTTAATAGCCTTTAATGGATGGATGGAAATTTCAACTGGATAGCTTTAAAGCTGAAGGCGAGAAGACTTGCCGAGAGTAGACAGCCAGAATAAAAGGCCAAGCATGTCAACTATAGCAAATAATGTTGTCTTCCAACACTGAAACCATATTTGTTTTGTAGTTGAGGGCCATTAGAGCAACATATGATTTAAAACCTAGAGAGTCGCTCAGACAAAAATTTAAGGAAATTAATATATTAACCATTGAGTTCTGTGTGCACAATTTTATGCTACATATTTGATCGTCATCATCATTCTCGTTATAGCCAAAACAAGAACATAGACCTCCCCCATGTAATGTCGTATTTCATACTTTTCGGTTATTCGAAAGTTGTCAGATCGAAAACAAGTTTTAGAAATACATCATTACAGGCCTTTACAAGTCCACTGCTGAACATATACCTCCCCCAAGGAATGCCGCAAAGGACGGTTCTAAGCCACCTGCAGTCATCGACTATCTGCATATCTAACCAGGTTGTCACGTCATCTAATGTGAGGCCACGTACACTTCGATTCCAGTACGAGGTTGCCACTCGAGTAACTTTCTTCCCCATCGGTTGTCGATTCATAGAGCTATATGGCCAACTCCGTCATTAATAAAACTTTATTGTTTTTATCACATTTATATCTAGGAGTTTTATAAATAAAAATCCTTTTAATATCACTTTCTTTTTAAAAAAAATTTAATATCCAACATGATCCCTAAACAGTAACAAAAACTAAAAATAATGTACATAAAATTGTAAATTACCTTTCATATTAACCAGACTATAAGTATAAAATAAATAAGACACAAAGATGTTTTCTGCGGCCTCCTTTCTGCCAAGGAGGGTCGCGTTCGTATACGGCTTAGAGATCTCTAGTTAGACCGTTAAGCCAGTCCCTAAAAGGCGGTGTTTAGTGGATAAAAGTCTCCACATATCCACGCAGCCAGCTGCGTGGTATGCTATGAGCGTTCATCGCCTCCCTCCCCCGCTTTCCGGAGGGTTGCCCATATTTGCTTCGGGCGCAAAAAAAAAGTTTTTACTTTCAACATATGGCTTTATGAACTAGCAAGTAAAAAGTTAGACAAACACCTACTGAATTTTTTTACTTCTCCTTATTGACACATTTCATTTAAAGGGTAAATACATAGATAAGTATCCCTAACTTATATTGTTAAGTGTATATACAACAAAATTTTTTACCTGATTACAACTGTCGGCTCCTGAGAATTAAACACTTTATATTATTTCGTTTATTTGCCAACTGGACCTGAAAAATTAATTTAATATTTATGTTCTCACATTATATATCTGTTTGTGGTTGTGGCTTTCTTTTGAAAATAATAGTCATATTTATTCGGATCCATATTGTTAATTTTAATTATTTAAGAAACGTGATTTGTACCTGATGCATATTTTCACTAAATAATACACTGTGCCTAAGGGTAATTGCAAATTCTAATCATCTTGATTTCCAAATTTTATAAAAAGTAGTGGACTTGTAACTTCGAGCATCAGTAATCGCTATCAAACATTGGGTGCGTTTGGCAGAAAAAAGCGCTAGCAAGCGTTTATCTCAGACGAAATGAAAAAGTTTTTATTTCGTCTGAGGCGCTAATAAGAAAAATGGCGAAACTAAACAGCATAGATTACTGACTATGTACCATAGATTACTGTGGTACAAGTAATCTATGCTGTGTATATACTAGAGCTGTGTACTAGCTAAACAGTTTTCGGCCAGGACACGTTAGCTAATGCTAGCCATAGAGTAGAATGCTAACTTCAGCGCTGACACCGTAGACAGTTTCTCTGTCTACGGCTGACACAATCCGCCATTTTGCTTATTTAATTTCATACAGAGTAATCTGTGTCTAATTTGTTTGTTTTTTTGAATGGTTATATTCTCTATGGTTTTGAAGTAGAGTTTATAAGTTGTTTTGTGCAATATTAGTTTTATAGTCAACCAAATCTATGAAATACCTTTTGACGTTTCACATTAATCATTCCGCAATAACTTAAACTTGCATTGCGACTTTCCTATAGAGGTCCCGTTTGGCATTGATGGTGGTCGGTATGGTCTCATGTAAAGACACGTCATAATCGTGCTAAACAAAGTTTGGCAATGGTCGTAAAATTCTTGTGGAGTTCTATTGGCTTGCGAAGCTAAGGAGAGGTCATTATATAAAGCCGTTTCGTCCCGCTGGTCGGAAAAGTTATTTATTAGTGCTGTCCTAATACCTAACCAATTTTCAGGAATGCTATTAGAGTTTATAGTGTAGGCAGCGGTTCCTGTTATTTTGTTAAGAATACCGTTCAAAAGATATAAATTAGAAAATTCGCTATCGGTCGCATTGCTTAGATACTGCGAAACTAGTCTGTCACATATTTCTATGAATCTATTTAAAACGTTAGGGTTCCCATCGAACTCCGGGACGAGGCGTAAAGCCTTAAAAATTGTGTCCAGGTCATAGGCCATCTCTGTTAAATAAGTATTATTTAATTCTAATTCTAAATCGGTTTGCCTATTATTATCTAATATATGACGGCAAGCCTGTCGAAATTCAGGCTCCCGCAAACGAGTTACTATAGGATGATAAATCTTGAAGGGAAAGATTTAAAACTTAGGGATAAGGAAGAGCAACACGACATCAATTCAAGTGTACTCACGTGGATTTCATCTGGTTTCTCTCGATGAATCGAAGGCTTGATTCTCCTCCTGGTCTGCAGCCGGTCCATAGATCCGGATACTCTTCAAAGGGACTTGATAGCCACCGGGATGCTTCACGGTTATGAAAAGATATTCCCTAATTATTGCAAAACTACCCCTGAGTATCCTACCGACTGCGCCGATTACGTTAGCTTCGACCGGAGCACGGGTGGTAATCTCTATACAAATATTCGTAGCCTTATGTCTATGGCCCTCAAAAATCGATGTTGACAGCTATTGACTACAAATGTATAAATAAGTAACTACGGACTTGATTGACGTTTGTTTTGACGCTTCTGTCCCATATACAAAAAGTACTCTGTGTCTGTGTTCTGTCCAGACCCACAAACTAATAAGAGTATTAACGTATATTAAACAGACGACAATCTTCCATACTAAAAAATTGGTCTATAGCGAGCCCCAAAAATTGAAAGTGACATTTACGTTTTCAAATGTATCTAAGGCAAAGGTATTTATTTGTTTCAGCCTACTAGCCAGTGGCTGCAAAAAATCCTCTCAGAACTTTAAAAATTTATCTTTATTGGTTTAAACTTATGTAAGTTTTCACAATGTGACCACATACATAAATTTAAACCATTATTAATGTTTATTTAGATATAAAGAAATAAAATACAGTAATATTTATTGTCTTTTATTTTTACAATAAAGTGTAAATTTACAAGTGCAAGCAAATTCTTTCCTTCTAGGCGCAAAACATCAATTTCTTTTAAATATTGCCACAGCCATTGAAACCTCTATAATTACAATCTATTGAATAAAACTATTATTTACGGATTTTATGTGTATAGGAAAAAGACCCATACCAACCGATCTCTAAATGGTGAATCTCACCATCATCCTTCACAGTTAGCTACCGTGGGTAAATCTTTGTTTCAGAGATCACGAGGGATCTGTGACAGAAAACATCTGGCCGCGGAGCTTCAGCACGTCAAACAAGTATTGCAAGACAACAAGCTTCGGGTCCCGCGCCTACGTCACAGTGAACGAGTGAAGCCGGCCACAGTCGAGCGCGCGCCTGCTCTACTTCCATATGTCAGAGGAGTCACGGACAAGATTGGCTACATCTTGAAGCGAGCGTCCATTAAGACATACTACAAGCCGCTGAATAAGATTAGTCAATTTTTACCATCCATCAAATGTAATATTCCTCTACAAGATGCAGGTGTGTTTAAGCTAGATTGTGAATGTGGTCTCTCTTACATAGGTCAAACAAAGATCTATAAAAACCCGCGTGAAGGAACATATAGCTGATGTGAAGCACCGACGCTCCGGGAAGTCTGCAGTCTGCGAACATGTTCAAGATCGTCCCCACCATTACATTAGATTTGATAAACCACAAATTCTCGCAAAAGAACACCGATTCCTACCAAGGATGATACGCGAGGCTATTGAAATTAAAAAACATCCAAATTTCAATAGAGAAGATGGTTGGGTGCTACCATCTGCTTGGGATCCTATAATTAACAAAATTAAACCCAAACCCAAGCATACCACTACAAGACTTCATGATACTATAAGCTCGTTTTGCGTAAATCAGACCAAAAATCAATATTAAAAAAAATAAAAAATAAAAAAACTGAAGGTAGCCGGACTAACTATGACATTGGGACGTCAAACATCTCAGTCCCCCCCGTGACCATGGGTGCTGTAAAGCACCCGAAACATCGGGATAATAATAAAAATAAATTAAAGTAATTAAACGCGATAAAATCCGTAAATAATAGTTTTATTCAATGTGTAGTGTTCGTGTAAATTTAAGAAATCATTAATTACAATCTAATTTTTTATCGAAGGAACTGATGGTTCTTTGCACATAGGTCACATATTCAATTCAAATGATGTAACAACTTTTCTCAAATTTTTCTCCTTGTAGTATTTATGGTTTGTGTTTGTTGCTCCCCCATTTACCAAATATGCAGCAATATTCAAAGCTTAAGGTTGCCCTAGTCGATGGCACGAACTAAGTGGTGGGCGGGGCAAAAATGCATGCTATCTCAGCCGACATCTCGTGCGAAAGGGATAGACGCTGTGATGAGCAGTAAGAAGCTAGTGCGCACACACATACGCACTCGAGTGACGCAATGCGCGACGGCATCATCGCGTACCTAGGTACCTATGCGATTCATTTTAGAATAATAACATAAACTCAAACGGCACTTGTGAACTTCGTGCCGCAATAGCTTAGCAATGAGTAGCTGCGCTGAGTGCCGCGGGTTCGAATCCCCCACGGAACAAATATTTTGTATGGACTACAAATAGTTGTTCCGGGTCTGGATGTTTGTTCTTATACAATTTATATTTGTAAACTGCCTCCACGATACTGGAAAAAATCGGGGATAACGTATTTTATAAAGAGAAAGGAGAGAGAAAGCAAATTGGTGTTATTGTAACTTAGAATCTGCTGTGTGAAACGTAATTATTATGAAACCAATTTATGTACTTAGTTGTTATGATGAAAGTTCTTATGTGAACTTAAGTAGATGTTGTTATTATATAATAATTCCATTGATTTGTTTTTACCTACTTTTTAACCGACTTCGAAAAAAGGAGGTGGTTCTCAATTCGTTGGTTTTTGTTTATGTATGTTCTGTCCCCCGATTTCTCGAATATGCCTGAACCGATTTGGATATATTTTCCAGATAATCCCACGGTAATCGACGATGATCAGATCAGGATCTGATGATGGGATCTTGTAGAAATCGGGGGCACTCTTCAATAAATGACAGCAAATCAACCGCGATTGCTGCTATCGCCTATCTATGCATTCTTTACGCAACCACACAATATAATATCACGCCTGTACCCACTAAAGGGACATAACTCTAAACTAAAAACGGTAACATAAAAAACTTTTTTTTGAAAAAAAATATAACAATTTCTAAAACAAACACAAAAAAGTGTAACATAATTATGTTTTCTGTATGTTTTTGTATTTTACTGTAGGTTATGCAAATATTACTGTAGGTACTATGTATTCTAAATAGGTATTTACTTTCCATAGCTAGTTAGCTATAATAGCCCGCAGGCAACTCCCCGACCCCGAAGTATATGTCAGCCAGTGTCAGGATAACTGCTTTTTCGACAGCGCGATTTTGATGTGAGTGTGGCTTTTATATAGGTAAATTAAATAAAAAAAATGTTAGTTTGTAAATTGTTTATTGATTGTTTGTGTTCAATAGCGGTTTGAAATATTCTCTTACTACTTAGAAAGTTATTAACAACAGGCATTGTGTCACTGCAGGGACAAGCACAAACGTCTATCAAAATAGTAACGTATATAAACGGAATACTAACAGCATAGACTTCCTTACAGAAGTCCAAAGAACACGTCTAGGCAAGGTAAGTAATTAGAAGAAAACTACAATTTAGAGATCGATTGTAAATCAAATTCACAGTACAGACACAATTAGCGAAATATGAATAAAATTTTTATTTATTTTATGATAGATAACGCTAGTTGAAAACTAAACACTGTATGGGAATGGCATCACTGAACGAGTCAGGTGATCAGTCCAAACAAATAAAAGGCGCGATTGTAGAAAGAAATTCGTTACTTGGTCGGGGCTTGACCTGTTTATGCTATTCATAACGAAGGCTATAAATATGTAGGTATAACTTAGAAACTAAATCCTATGTGTACTTATCTGTATTCATAACCTAATATCTAAGGTAGGTTATTCTGTAAT